CAAATATTCCAAGAAAGAAAGAAAGGAAATAAAACAGAAAAATAAGAAAAAAAAAGTAAAGGGAAAAAATGGTAGAAAGGATAGGGAACTGAAATACGAATTGGCTGGAAATACCTTTGAGCAAGATTCCACCAAAACACCGGAGCCCAAGAGGACAATGTTAAAACAGTACCAGATTAATTATAATAGCTTTTGCAATAGTTCTGTAAAACTAGGTGCCAGACTTCTTTCTAAATACATGTCACATGTTAAGCCACAACTCTATTAGGGAACATTCCCTACAGTCGTGCTGTATCATAAATTAATGAACAATAACAGTAGGTGTGTTCAAGCCAGGGCACTGCACAAAGGAAAATCTGGACTGGGATCTGAAGAAAGTTTGAGGCAAAATAATGCACCAGCCCATTGGCTGCAGTTCCTTCTGTGAAACGTAGGACTCAGTAAAAACCACAAGAACAAGAACTGTATTGACCGGAAGATCAGGTACTTCACAGAGACCACTAACGAAGTTAGAAAAATTTTGGAGGTTTTTGAAGTTTTGAGTACCCTATTGCCAGCCAAACCATAAGTTGGGATCCAGTAGTAGAAGGCATACATGCGGGGCTGCTTTGGTTGAAGAGGGAAGAGTGAGTACTTACCCCACAGCCTCCCATGTGTCCCCCCCACACTAGTTCCACTGCTCCTTTTCACGGTGACCCCCCAAGGCCTGTGGCCCTGGATGATGCCACAGACCTGTCACCATCACACTGGTGTCTTCCTGCCAAAGCCTTTGCTGCCCACCCCTCAACTCTATGCATAATCCCAGGAGCCTGTTTTTGTTTTTTTTCTCAAACAACTTTTCTTGAGATACAATTCACATACCATAAAGTCCATCCTTGTAAATGTACAAGTAGATGATTTGTAATAGAGTCACAGGTTGTGCGACAATTCCTACCAATTCCAGAACATTTTTATCATCTCAAAAAGAAACCTATATCCATCAGCAGTCACCGTCCATTGTTCCCTCTCCATCTCCCTAAGCAACCTCTCCTTTACTCACCTATTCTGAGTATTGCGTATGAATGGAAGCATACGATAGGTGGCCTTTTGATACTTGGCTTTAGGAAGAGTTTTCAGGCAACTGAACATTGCTGTCTTCTCTGTTCCCTTGCTGAAGTGCAAGACATCTAGGCTACTGTCCACACTTCAAGGAGGGCGAGGGTCCCACCTGTGACAAGGAATGGGTGGAAAGAACAGCCAGCTGGCAGTGATGGAAGCTCTGCAGGTGCCGGCTCTGCACACAGGAAGGACCAGCCAGGGTTTCTCTGAAATTCCCAAGTTACAGCCAAATAAGTAGATGCCAAAGAAACTGCCTAGCCAAAAGATTATGACCATAGCTTTGATGCACACAAAGACTCCTTTTGTGATTCTTCTTCTACAGGAAGTTGAAGTCAATGTGTTTGACATTCTAAATGACCACACAAGGAGGGAGGGCTGCAGGGGAGGGTCGTACTCACTTTAAGCTTTTGTTTTCTTATCTGTGAAGAGGCTGTAATAATACCTGACGTTCAGATGGATTAGAAATAACAAGAGTGCTCTGTATAAGCCTGAAGCACAAGATATTGGATAAAGGCAGCTGCAAGCAATGGTCCTAAGGCAGGAGAGCACCAGAAGGCTTGGAGTGAGACTGGCTCTGTCATTCAGTGTCCTGATCGGCCAAACAGAGCTGCTGAAAGAACCTGGCTCGTAAGGGGCATCAGCAAGACACCTGGAGCTGAACCTTCCTGAGGCTCACTGCAGCTAGGCACCCCTATGTGTGAGTTCACTCAGTCCTCTCAATAACCAAGGTGGCAGGTACCATTGTGTGCCCTATCACACATCTGAGGAAACCAAGGCACAAGTTAAGCAGCTTGCCCAAGGTTACTCAGACAATGAATGCAAGTGCTAGTATTTAAAGCAGTGCCTCTCCTCTGTGGTTTGCTTGCAAAGTTTCAGTTACCCTGAGTCAATCGCTATCCAAAAATATTACATGGAAAATTCCAGGAATAAGCAATTTATTAATTTTACATTGTGCATTGTTCTGAGTAGTGTGATGAAATCCCAAGCCATTCTGGGTGAGGCCACTCCTTGGCCGGGGCATATATTATGTCTCTTTGTAGATGCCTTTGCCTGTGTTGTTTGTATTACCTACCCACTGGTCATTTAGTGGCAGTCCAGGTTATCAAATCACCTGTCATAGTATCACACTGCTTATGTTCAAGTAACCTTTATTTTATTTAACAATGGCCCCAAAGCACAAGCGTAGAGAAGCTGACAATTTCATTATGGCATATTGTCATAATTGTTCTTTTTGTTGTTGTTGTTTTTGGTTTTTTGAGACACGGTCTCACTGTGTCGTTCAGGCAGGCCTTGAAGTCACTGTGTAGCCCAGGCTGGCCTAGAACTTGCAGTGATCCTATCTCAACCTCCAGAATGCTGGTATTTTATTATTTGTTGTTGTTATTAATCTCTTACTATGTCTAACCTCTAAACTAAACTTTATGCTCGGCATAGTGGCACATACCTATAATCCCAACATACTGGGAGGCTGAAGCAGGAGGATCACAAGTTCAAGTCCAGGCTGGGCAATTTAGCAACTTAGTGAGACCCTGTCTCGAAAAATAATAAAAAAAGGGGCAAAATTTAGCCCAGTTGTGCCGTGCCTGCCTCACAAGCGCAAGGTCCTGAGTTTGATTCCCAGTACCAAACAAAACAATAATAAAAAGGGCTTGGGGGTGTAACTCAGCATGAAAGCCCTGGGTTCAATCACTGGCACTAACAAAAGAAACACAGAAAAACAAACAAAACCCCCCACCTTTATCATAGGTAGCTATGTATAAGAAAAGCATAGTATATGTGTATATGATTCAGTACTATTCACAGTGTGGGACTCCACTGGGGTCTTGGACTGCACCCTCCAGGTGAGGGGCACTACAGTGATCCCGAGAAGTCTGCTCCAGTGTTCACATGATTCTCCATTCTCTAGGCTGTCGAAGTTTTACCGCAGCACCCAATACAAATGGAGTCCCAAATAAACGTAAGTTATTGTGGCTATGGAATAGTAATATTTTTAAAAACAAGCTTTCCCCGATGTATTGGGTTAAGGAAACTAGCTCTGTTTTTATCTCAGGTAGAGGAAGAAGCTGGGTCTTTCCCGTCTTTGTGTCTAAGAGTGCTTGGAACACAGTGCCTGCACAGAAGGAGAGCTCAAGTCTTACTGGAGAAGGCTGAATGTTCAGACGACACCTTCATTCCTGGACGGCACGGTGGCCTTCTGAGGAAGACTGGCTGAGCTGCACTGGACTGTGCCACATCTGAGTGCCTTTCCCCAAATTTTTGTCCCCCAGGTACTGCAAGGCCATGAGTCCCCAAAACATTTTAATCAGCCTGTTTCTCCTTGTGTGATCTCCATCTGCTGACTTCACTTCTCTCATTACCCCTTCCAGATGCCACACCCAGACCTGGTTCTCTCTCCACATGCACACGACGCCCATTGCACAATCAATGTTTCCACACACTGAAAGTTTCCTTCTTTATTTTGCACAGATCCACTCTCTACTCATCAGTCTTACGGCTGAGACCTCCCACTTACCCCAGCCTCCCTGACTTCTGCTCTTAAAGCCACTGAGTTGCCGAACCATCAAAGCATCCAGCTCAGCACCAGGATCTGCAGCTGCAGAGGAGGTGAGAACTAAGATTTCGCCATCAGCTCACTCTGAAGTCATTTTCTGTCAGTGTGGACAGAGTCCCCTTCAGGCCCTTGAACAGAGGCCAGATGCTGCTGTCTGCTCATCAGCCTGGGGCTCCCTGGGATTCCTCTGGGGCTGTCACACTCCTCCAAGAGCCCAGAGACAGGCCCCGCCCACAGATGCACTCATGCCGCACCAAGTCGGTCCCATAAGAACTTTCTACACAGACGGCCTGAGCCCTCTGTAAACACCAAGTGTGGCCAGACCTGCCTGGCCTCCCTGGATCCCACTAGAGTCCGGTGAGCAAAACCTTGACTGGCCTCTTTCTGCAGCTAGCATGAGCAATAGCTTACTGACTGTGACCAGGCACCTGGACATGTGTGCCAAGAGGCTCAGCACTGACCTGGTGTGGGGCGGATAGCGGGTGAGGCTCATGAACCATAGCACGGCCTGGGTGAGGTCCAGGGCCTCCTCCTGTCCTCTCCAGGGTGTGAGTCGCACTTCCAGTTCTTACTTCCCTCAAGATTTCCTCCCTAACTTCCTTCTGCTTGCTCCTCTTGCTACATACAAACAATTTGCCTTCTTTACTCTATACGGAATTTTTAGCATCTCTCTCTCTCTCTCTTTTTTTCTTTTTTTGGTTTTTGTTTGTTTGTTTGTTTTTTGAGACAGGTTCTCACTATATAGTTCAGGCTGGCCTTGAACTCACTATGAGCCCAACTCGCAGCAATCCTGAGTGCTGAGATTACAGGCATGCACACCCACGTGGCATTAGCTTCTCTTTTACTAATGTAGCTACGCACTCTCTGTCGGAAAAGCTGACATCCATTTTCACCCCCAACCCTTAACTCCCTGGCCTGAGTCAGACCTCCATTTCTCCCTGACCTTGTGAGAACTCTAAGTTCAAGGTCATTTTACTTAAGCTGCCATCTTGCTCTAACTTTATGGTCTCCAACTACTGCTCAGATGGACCTTTCCCTTCCACACACATATTTTCATGGAGCTCTTCTCCGGGCAATTTGTAGCTTGCTCAAACTTGGCCAATTCGCAGCCAGTCTCCTACAAATATTCTCTTACGTTGCCTGAGCTCAAAAGAAGGGAAGGATGCTGAACCTAGGGATGTGATTTCCCAGACTTATGAAGCTCAAGGTGAGCAAAGAGACCCTGTATAGAAAGGAGCTTTCCTCCAAGTGTCCTTGGAGCTGTGAGACTGGGAGGAAAGCAGTTCAGAGGGCTCTTGTGTGAGCTGCGGTCTGTTTTTGGTCTTTCCCTGGGGCTCTTTCTGCTTCCTACCTGTGCACATGACGGCGGCAAAGACCCAGCACTGCCCATAGCGCACTGGTTGGCAGCCAGCAGCATGCCACTGCTTTAGGATGGCCACGCTGCCGGTCCACTCGGCAGGGTTGATGCCGTCTACATAATTCTCGCTCCAGTTTCCATTGAGCACCCCATTGTCATCATTACTGTTGATCTGAAGAGAAACCATATACAGAAGCATGAGAGGCATCCTTTCCTTCAGCAGGCTGTGATGCATAGGCTGCCTTGGGATGTCCAGGAATTAACAGAGATGCTGGCCTGTGCCCAGCTACCTCAGAGCTCAGTTGGGAAAACTTGTTATCCATATTTGGACGTCAGTCTTAACCGAAGTGGGCCGGGGAGCCCCACCTCTCAATTCCTCACTGCCCCACTGCCAGAGCAGCTGAGACAGGCAAGGGTTCCCTGCATGGCTTCCTCCCTCCCTGGCTCATGGGGCCTCACCATGGTGCACACCACTCTGCTGACGTAGACAGGGCTTCCCCGCAGGGCACAGTCTGTGGCTGGGTCAGTCTGGAAGTTCAGGCTCTTGTCCAGCAGCTCTAGGCAGATGTCTATAATATTTTCTTCAAACTGCAAGAGGAGGTGTAGAGATGGAGGTGCTTATGGAGCATATGTGGGGACACATGGAGGAGCACACATCCCGTCCCATGGAGCTCTCCGATGGGTGTGCCTGTGGGATGGATACTAACCCATCTGGAAAGTAACTGTGTTAAACAGAATAGCCAACCTCCCAGCAAGTGTGGGGTTTCCAAGGTCTGGGGTCACTGCCCACCTGGTACGTGTGCCCTGAAAATCAATCCTTTCCTCCAGCCCTGACTTGAAGGAGATTTGCTACTTCTGGTTTTGGTTTTTGTTTTTTCCAGTGAGTCTGCCTGGCTGAAAAGTCTATTTCTCCCTCTTCTCCCCTCTGTCTCCACACTCCTGGAGTGCCTGGCGTGTTCTTCTGTACTAACTGGTGACCAGCTTCTCACTGGCAGCCAGGCTGAGGGGACAGTGCAAACCTGCTGCGGCCCCACAGCTGCGCGGGGCTCCGGCCTGACCAGTCCCACGTGAAGGAATGGAATTTCTAGCCCAAGGGAGCCCAGCTCCTCCCAGCCCTTCAGGCCGAGGGCGCCACCACTTCACCAGGCCTGACTTAAACCTGCCATGGCTTCACGCAGGAGGCTGGGGATCTCAGCTCCACTCCTCAGCCTCCCTGCTCTGAGGATATGCTCCATCTTGATCCGGCTCTTTTCACAGCTCTGGACCCCAGACAAAGTATAGAGCCCCGCACACAGTAGGCGTGGGATGTATCTTTGTTGAATGAAAGTAAACAAATATATTTATCCCCCTGTCAAAAAAAAAAAAAAAGCGATATGCAGGATTGGGTGTCTCTGATCCATCTTCCCCAAGGGACAGTCTGGCCAGATCATTTCCTACTTTAAAATGCCCACAGGCCCCACAGCCTGGAGAATCAGAGCCCCAGACTCCTTCAGAAGGTTTCCAAGTCCCTCCCAGAGCTGCCCCCACCTCTGCAGGCTCTTTTCTCTGCTCTCCCCCTCATGGTGCTAGCTTCGCTCCAGCAAATTCTCTGTAACCCTCCCAAGAACCAACCCATTTCTGCCTGTGTCTGCTCTCATCTGCCTTCTGCCTTCACTCGGCTAAGCCAGCTCAGCATCTCCCCTCAATCCTTACACATCCTACACTGAGATCAGTGATCTGCTTAGGGGTAGGGTCCCCACTACACTGTTCTATCACGGACAGTATTTTATTTATCTCTAGCATTCAGCACCCACCTGGCAAGGAGCAATCAGGTGCCTTTACTGAAGAAGAAAAAAGGGAGAGAGCCAGCGGCTCAGAAAGCAGCAACTTCTCCCTTCTGCTTCTCTTGGACAGCAGAAAACTCCTGTCCAGGGGCTGTCTGGGATCCCCCTGCACATGCTGAGCAAGGATACCGGGGGAGCAGGGTGAGGCCAGCGGAGGCTGCAATTCCTCCTCTCAGCGGTAGCTACCTGGACCCAGGCTGGGCCCGCAGGCCATGTGTGTGGGGGTCTGTTTGGGCAAGTCCAGGAAAGGAGCCCATATGAGTGGATATAAGGCTCTAAGAGGACTCCCAGGCTGTGTCCCAGCTGAGAGCCCTTCCCACGGCCAAGAACTGATTCCTCTCTCTGTGCTCCCAGTGTGGGGCTCAGCCTGTAGAACACACTTCCCCAGCCTAGCCTGGACTTCCTGGAGCTTCCAGTAAAAGGCTTCTAGAGCATTGCAATGAATATGGTATCTTTATATCTGAAGTTGTATGTTTTAGAATATGTGTAGAAAACAGAGTATAGAGGAGCATATGTGTACCAAGCCAGTGACGGTGCTTAGAATGACCTCCATACTCCAGGTGTGGCCACCATCAAGAAAGCAAATAATAACAAACGCTTGTGAGGCTGTGAGGGAAAAAGGGAGCCTTCCACACTGTTGGTGGGATGTACGCCAGTACGACCACTGTGGAAATTAGTGTGGACATTATTCAAAAAACTGTGACTAGAAATTCCATTTGACCCAGGTATTTCCCTTCTACCTATCTTTCCAAAAGAGTTAAAGACATCACGTTACAGTGACCCATGCATACTCGTGTTTATAGAAGCCTATAACAGTGAATGGATAAAGCAAATGTAGTATTTACATACCATGGAGTACTACTCTGCCATAAAGAAAGATAAATGAGTCATTTGTAGGAAAATGGACGCACCTTGGGATCTTTATGTTAAGTGAAATGAATCAGACACACAAACTTAAATATCACATGGTTTCTCTTGTATGAGAAACCCAAAGTATAAATAAAGAATAAAATAATAGGAAATTGAAAGATAGGTCTTTCTCACAGCGGAAGGGGATCAAGAGATGAAAAGAGGTGGGAAAGAGGGGAGGGAAAGAGGAAGAGAAAGGAATGGAGGTGTGCCATGTGCACGCACCAGCTCCACACAAGGACAGTAAACATCATGTGCTGCCAACACGCACTGGTAAGAAAATGATCTGACTGAAGGCCAACTGTGAACTGCTTTTATAATGAGATGATTGATCATGTAAATAAATTGATTAAGGATGCAGAGGCACTGATCACAGGGCGGGAGCTGCACTGCTGCTCCTCAGCCTTGCTCCGGCCGAGATGTTGCAGGTGAGTTCTTGCCAGTGTTGGCTTGGTGCTTGGCTGCATGGCTAAGCTTGTGAAGATACAGAGAGTGAGTGGGAAACGAGATGCAGTGCAAACACAGCATAACAAACACAGATGCCAGGCACTGTCACTGCTATGGGGACTGCTTCCTTCCATCCTTGGGAAAGCCTGGAGGGCTCCCCAAGCTGCCTTAGACTCCGGGGTTCAAGTTGGCCCTTCTGCTCCTCTACAGCCCAGCTGGTGTTGCACACCTTCCTTGTGCCATTTAGTTAGTGGTGTCAAAGGCTCACCCCAGTCTCTCCCCTCTCCCCAGCAGCCCAGGGCCCAGACGGGCTGAGACTCACCTGCCCATAGTTCCACGGGCACGGGCGGATCCAGTTCTTGCTCCCCTGGTAGATGAAGCCATAATCGTTCACAACGTATTCCTGTCTCTGGGGCTCACTGTCCAAGTAGACGGCATCCCCTCAGGATCAAAACGGAGAACAAAGCAAAGGTGTCATCTTGCCCATCCTGTCCCATGCCTGTCCCCATGTCCCAATGGAAACTGGAGCAGGTACTGAGAAGGGCTGGGTCAGGGGGTTGGGCGCTCGCAACAGGCTTATCATGAGAATGAGGAGGAATGATGCAGTTTATATTTCCTGAAGTTTCTCAGTTTACACCCTCAATCTATTTAAAGGTTGAGAAAACAGGCTCAAAAGTGATTAAGTAATTTGCACAAATCACACCTAAGTATAGAGCTGGACTTGAACCCAGAGCCACCACAACTCCATATTCTGTGCCTTCTGCTGTACTCAGCTGACCTGGTCAGAAAAGAGCACAGGAGAACAGAGTTGGCACTGGCCTCATTCACTCGCGTTATGGGATGTAAGCGAAGGGACTTGCTGAGCTTGTGCACAGAGTGTTAGGTACTAGCTCTCCGTCTGAGTGGCACTTATAATACTGAAAAGGTGGGAACAACCAAGATGCCTCGCTCCTGGAGACGGGGCAAATGGCCTCGATGAATCCTCACTGCAGAATTTATACAGCATTGACATAGGGTGGCAGATAGGGCATGGAACTCAACATGTGATATATTTTCAACAGTTTCCAAAATAATGTGTACAGCATAAATTGACTTTTGTTAAAAATCTCTCTCTCTCTCTCTCTATATATATATGTTATATATATGCTCAAAGGCTTTTGAAACTTATTGCAAAATTCATTAACAATAATTTTTGATTTTCCTTTTCCCTTTAGGAATCTTCAGAATTTCTGGAATGAACATGTGTTACTTTTGTGATATAAAAAATTATTTATTTAAAGTTAAGAACAAGCAAACCAAAGGTGGAGGTGGGCAGGGTGCTTTTCTCAGGGTCCTGGAACTGCGTGGAGGCCCTGCCCCTGCCTGAGGTGAAAGGGCCTCCTGTCATCCTGGGAGGCACCTCTGACACAGCAGTGGGGCTGGGCCAAGGTGGGAGGGCATCTGCCCAGGTGTGTTCCTTGAGGGTTTGGCCCAGTGGTGAGAAGTTGCAGGTTCATGGCTAAGGTCATATAAATCCCTAAGCCACGGGTTGGAGCCTCACAGCAATATCCCAGTGCGGCATCTGCCTACCCTGGCTGCAGCCCTCCCAGCCCTCACCCCAGTCCCCTAGGGAACTTGCCATGTCACAAGCTTGGGGAGAAGCCCATGGTCCTTCCCACAGCTCATGGTGGCCCTCATAACAAGTATGAAGCCCACAGACGTGTGTGTGTGTGTGTGTGTGTGTGTGTGTGTGAGACAGAGACACAGGAAGATACAGACAGACACACACAGGAGGCAGCCAGCCCTCTTGGGTCCAGGGGCGGGCCTCTTCGCTTGGCTGGTAAGCGGCCATCCTAACCATTCTGGAAATGGGGGTAGCAGGTGGTGCAGTGTCAGAACCCAGCTGGGACCCTGGGTCCCAACTGGACTCAGCAGGCCCCCTTAGCATAAGGTCAGGGGAGACTACAGAATGAGAGGGAGGATGGGAATGGGCTCATCCTTGCACTAGGGCGGAAGCAAGACTGGAGACCAGGCCCACCCCTCTCGAAGATCTTCCTCCCTTCTTCCTACTCTCTCCTCCTGACCTGTGTGTCCTCCGTGTCCTCAGATCCGCCCACATATCTACCCTTGACCCCAGTCAGGGTTAGAGGACAGGACCTGCAGGACAGGCAGTGCAGGGATACGCCCTGTGGCTTTGTTCATACAAGAGAGCAACCGGAGAGAGCCAGAATACCCAGGAATAAGGCCTACTTACAAATATTTGGTGTATTCAATCAGTGGGATGACTGTCAATGTTAGGGGAAATGCTCTGAAGGAGAACATGTCTACAGTTGATACTTAAATGAACATACAAGTTGAAAGTAGTATGTATTTAAAAAATCCCACTCAGTACATATTGTAGACTCACACATACACACACAGGCACATTTGATTAAGTATGGAATCCTTTTAGAAGGCTGTGCAAGAGTGTTTACAGGGAGAACGGAACTACCGAAGAGTGTTTCTGCTGGAGGGTGGGACTTGAAGGTTGAGAGGTTTTTCTTTTCACCATATGCTTCTCTTTCCTTTCCCCCTCCCCTCCTTCCCTTCCTTCTTTTGTTCCTTCCTTCCTGTTTTACATTTTCCTTCATTCTTCAAAAATGCAACATAGTGTATTTATCATTCTTAAAATGGAAAAACTGAGCCAGGTATGGCGGCGCATGCCTGTGATCCCAAGCACTCTGGGAGGCTGACTCAGGAGGATTGCAAGTTCCAGCCCAACCTGGGCAACTTAGCAAGTTAGAGAGACCCTGTCTCAAAATAAAAAATAAAAAGGGCTAGGGAGGTAGCTCCATGTGAAGGCCCTGAGTTCAATATCCATTATTGCAAATAATAATAGTTTTAAAATAAATAAATGAAATGAAAATGCAAAAAACTTAAAAAATTTTGACGAAGAGAGCTGTTATCAGTGGTCACACTTAGCTAGAATAGGGTTCTATTTAAGTAAAGATTATTGGTCTTATAGTTTTAAAATTCTAAATAGGTAAGTAAATAGCAAGATCTCCCTGCCTGGTTGTTGGTAGTTGGGGGTGGAAGCTGTGTTTAAAGGACAGAGGGGTTGTGGGTGGCCAGGGAGCAGGACTTGAAAACCCTCAAGCCTGGCTGGCTGTGAGCCAGGGGTGAAGGAGCTGTGCCCCCAGGTCACTGGCTCACCTGGGCACCAGGGATTGAAGAGCAGGATGAACTCCCCAAGCTTGTAGGCTGTGACGGATCCCTGGAAGGAACTGATGTGAACTTTCAGCAGGTACCGACCCACAGCTGCCATAGGGGGCGCACACAGGCTCACTTCCAGGGAGGTGGGCCCGGGGGCCTCCGGCAAGGCGATCCAGGGGCCGGGGCCACCCTGGTTTCCCAAGCCGAACACTGCCCGTGTCCCTTTGGCCAGGTCTGGCAGGGGTCCTGGGAGAAAGACAGAGCTGAGACCCTCTATGGCGACCTCCCAGCCCAGCCCTCTAAGATCCCTTCACACACACACACACACGCACACACTCACACACACACACGCACTCTGTCCTTGTGAACCAGCTGAGGGAGGGTCTCACCAGTCTCAACCACAAAGATGATGTTGTCCAGGCCTGGCTGAAAGCCGCGGTTTCTGAAGTACAGGATGATGCTGAAGGCCTGGCCTCTGCGGACAAGGAGGCGGTCCACACTGACGTCATCGGTGTGGTGGTACACATTGTTCCAGGAGCTCCGGAGATCTGTGAGGGCCACCTCCAGCCCTGTGATGAGCCAGGCAAGACAATGGGATTGTGGAGCAGGGTCCAGTCCTGTTCATCACTTACTAGTTGTACAAACTTGAGAAAGAAACAGCTTCTCTGCCCCTCAGTTTTCTTGTTGGCGAAATAGATTCCATAGTACTAGCCTGACGAGATCAGGATGAGGGTTGCATGATGCTCCATGAAGGCAGGTTTCCTTCCTTCCTTCCTTCCTTCCTTCCTTCCTCCCTCCCTCCCTCCCTCCCTTCCTTCCTTCCTTGCTCCCTTACTTCTCTGACTCTGTATTTTCTTCTTTCTTATGCCTTCCTGGAGGAGACTGGTTTTCAGCCTCTGTCTGACTTCTTCCATAGACCTGCCCAAGTCTGATTCCTCCTTTTAGCCCAGCATGTCTTCAGATTCATCCCTGCATCAACTTTCTTGGCCTGAAATTGACAGTCTTACCTGCCCACAGACCAGCTTCCAAGCCTGGGAGTAAGTATCTGGGTTAGCTACCCTGGGTCAGTGGTCCCAGGATTGGCTGTCCTATGTTTAGCAATTTGCAAACTTTCTGACCACCACCAGTCCCATATGCTCCATGTCCTGGGAGCTTGGCTGCTGAGGAAAGTCCAGGAAAATTCCACCCCAGCTGTCTGGAGTGTCTGCTAATGCATGGGCTGACTCACTGTTCTCCAGGTGTGCCTCTCTCAGAAGGGGTCTCTTTCCAACTTGTTGTTTGACCATGGTTTTGTCATTGTCCTCAGTACCTTGGGGGTGGACAGAGCTTTAAATTATAATCTCCTGAGTATCTATTTGTGTGCCACCAAGTCCCTCCACGTTTTTCCATTAAGATGTCTCTGGTGTCCATCTGTCCCTTTCCACAGGCACATAATTCCATCCTTACCTAATTCCTAGTGACCGCACTAACTTCTGACAGACCTGCCTCTGTGTGGCCTCCTACCACTTACCCTTGACACATGACCTGGTCTCACAACAATTTGATCACGCCATCCTTTTGCTTTAAAAGTTCTAAGATACTCCATGGTCAGCCATATGAAAGGAACATTCCTTTACCTGACAATTAGGACCCTCCATGCCTGTCATTAACTTAAGTTTGCATTATCCTTCTCACTATCTTCCAGCCAATCTGTCCCAAGTAAATGGTCCACTTCCCTGCCTGTGCATTTTGTTCTTGCCATGGGCCCAACTCAGAATGCCCCTTTACTATTGAACCAAATTCCACCGGTCATCCAAGACCTACATCCCTCATAAACCTGCCCTATTGGCCCACCCTTCTTGCTATGCCCCACTCATCTATAATTTAACCACATCACTCTGAATCTGACCTGTTTAACTGACACAGTTAATTTACATGTTATGTTCATTTGTTCACTTCTGTCAACAGTCCTTTACTGAGACCCTACTGGTTTCAGGCTCAGCATGAGTTGCTCAAATATTTTTCTTAGTGTTTTTTTTTTTTTTTTTTTGGTCTGTTTTCCACCACTCGACATAAGCCAACAAGGACAGAGATCTAATTGCCTTTTTTTTTTGCTATTTTAAGATTTAAAAAAAATAAATAAACCAAAGTACCTGACAAAATCCAATACCTCTTCATGATAAAAATGCTCAACATACAAAAAATAGAAGGCATTTTCTCAACCTGCTAAATGGTATCAATAAAAACCTGCAACTTTTTGCAGAAAGACTGGTTCTTTCCTGACAAGATAAAGATCAGGGCAAGGGCATCTGCTCATACCCCTTGCTATGGCTGTGTCTGGATGGCCCCCAGAACCTCATGCAGTCATAGGTGGGAGCTTTTTAGGGTGTTGCTGGGATTAAGGATGTGACGCTGGGACTGATTCATGGTGTGATGTTAGGGTTAAGGGTGCCCCACCTGAGCGTGAGTACTACCTGCCCTCAGGGTGTAGCCTGGATAGGGTATAAGGGACCGAGAGCTACTGTTGCCACTTGGTGTTTGATGCTGCTTCTTCACTGCTTCACTGTTTTGCTGGCCTCTGCCTGCCATGAACTGTTTCTCCTCTGCCATACCACCCTGCCTTGGAGCCAGCCAACTATGAATTGAAATCTCTACAAACTGTGAGCTACAATAAACGTTTCCTCCTTTAACTTTTGGTGTCAGGTATTTTGTCTTAGCAATGAGAAAATTAACTAAGACAGCCCTCTGCTCACTATTGTACTGGAGTTTCCAGCCAGGATATTAGACAAGGAAAAGAAATCTAAGACATCCAGATAGGGCAGATGAAGCAAAATTGTCTCTATCCACACATGGGACGATCTTTTTAAAGGGAAAAGACTGAAATGTTAGAATTATTATGTTTTTGCTTTTTAGTTTTTAATGTGTGTTTGTGATAAATAATGACTGTAATTGTCTTGGTGAGTTAGTACATACGCAGATCACACACTTCTCGATCACTTTATTCCTCTTCCCCATTCTCCTCTCACTCCTCCTTCTCAGAGGCCCTTGATACACAAACATAATCTTTTTTTTTTTTTTTGGTACTGGGGATTGAACGCGGGTCCTTCCACTTGCGAGGCAGGCGGTGGAACCACTGAGCTAAATCCCTGGCCCCACAAACATAATCTTGTATATAGAAAAACCTAAGGAATTTCCCATCTCCAACTTAGAATTAATAAATAAATAAATTCAGCAAGGTTGCAGTATACATCAACATACACAAATCAGTTATTTTTCTATACAATATTCCTACACTTTCAATGAATAATCTGAGCACAAATTAAATAATTACGTGTATAATTGCATCAAAGGAATGAAATACTTAGTACTAAATTTGCCAAAATAAGTGCAAAATGTTTTTTCACAAAACAAACCCAAAAAAGTCCTTAAAAGAAATTAAAGAACATTTAAATAAATGGAATAACCTTCCTTGTTCATGTGTGGGAAGATATCTAAAGATTTAACACAGTGCCTACCAAAATTCCAGCTGTCATTTTACAGAAATTGACAAGTGAATCCTAAAATTCATAAGAAAGTACAGGGATCAGGCCTGGGATTTAGCTCAGTGGTTCCGCTGCCGGACTCACAAGTGCAAGGACTCGAGTTCGATCCCTCGTACCAAAAAAACCCCAAACAAACAAACAAACAAAAAACAGGGATCCATAATACCCAAAGCAATCTTTAAAAAGAAAAAAAATAGAGGACTCACACTTCCCTGTTTTAAAATTTACTACAAAGCTATTATCAAGGCAATGTGGTAGTGGCATTTCTATAGACTTATAGATCAGTGGAGTAGAACTAAGAGGCTAGAAGTAAACTCTCATATTTATGATTAGCTAATTTTTTTACAAAGGTGCCAAGACAGTTCAATGAGGAAATAATATTTTTTAAAAATCATGCTGGAACAAGACGCTGTCTGTATGGAAAAGCATGAATGCCTACCTCATGATACACAAAATTAACTCAAGATGGAGAAAAGACCTCAATATAAGAGTTAAAACTATAAAATTCATAGAAGAAAACATAGGGGTAAAGCTTCATGATCTTAGACTAGGCAATGGTTTCTTAGATATGCTACCAGAAGTATAAGCAGTGAAAGAAAAAAACAAATAAATTGGACTTCATCAAAATTAGTAACATTTTCTATCAAGAACATCACAAAGTGAAAAGATAACCCACAGAATGTGAGAAAATATTTGCAAATCATACTTGTAACAAGAACTTCATCTATCTATCTATCATACAACTCTACAACAAAAGACAACCAAAATATAAAATGGACAACTGATATAAACAGATAGTTCTTCAGAGAAGATGGGCAAATGGGCAATAAGGACATGAAAAGATGCTTAATATTATTAGTATATAAGTGAGATTGTACTTCACATCCACTAGGATAGGTGTGATGAGAAAGACAGGTAACAAGCATTGGTGGGGATGGAACCCTCATGGGACCCACACTGCAGGTTCCACACTCACTTTGGAGAACACTCGCAGCTCCTCAAAGTGACACAACAATCTTCCCAACAGAAGTGAAAATATACGTTCCCCCCAAACCTATATGTGAACATTAAGACCAGCCTTATTAATAATATCCCCCAAGTGGGGCCAGGGATTTAGCTCAGTGGTGCTGCTGCCTGCTTTGCAAGTGCAAGGTCCTGAGTTCAATTCTTGGTAATAATAATAATAATAATAATAATAATATCCCCAAAGTGAAAACAACGTAACTGCTCATCAACTGATGAATGGATCGACAAAACATGGTGTATCCATGTAACAGAACATTGTCTGTCACAAAAAAGAAAGCTGAACCTCCTATACTGTGGATGAACTTTGAAAACATTATGCTCAAGGAAAAAAGTCAGACACAAAGAGCACATATTGTATAATCAGTTTATATGAAATATCTAGAATCCACATAGACAGGAAGTAGACGAGGGCTGGCCAGGGACTGAAGAAAGACGGAATGGGATATAACTGTTAATGGCTATGGATTTCTTTTAGAAGTGATGAAAATATTCTGGAACTAGGTAGGGGCGGTGCTTGCAAAACTTTGTGAAATATATCAAAGCCCACTGAATTGTACACTTTCAGTTGGTGAGCTTGATGGTAAGTGAATTACATTTCAATAAAGCTGTTATGAGTAAATATGGACCAAATCGGCTGCAGTAAATATTGACCCTAATAAATATCATCTTCTTAACTTCTGGAAGTTCTTATTATTGTTAACACACATCTTTTTCATAAAATAGTTTATTATTATCGTTATTACTATAAGAGAAATAAGCAAAATGATTAACACATTATCGGTACTCAGAAACATTTGCCACATTGAATAGAGCTCTCTGACTTTTGCAAAATCACCCTGTACTTATTTCAGATTTCACATTCACTCAGCACTTTCCCCCAGGTCTGTTTCCTCAGGGCTGGCCACTGTGCTAGGCACTCAAGGACCATCGCATTTAACTTCTGCCACAAACTTGGAGGGATCAATTATGTCAGCTACACTTGGAGAGGAGAAAACTGGGTTTGGGGTGGATTAAATGCTTTGCCTTTGGTTAAACTCAGGAATCCTGACCCAAGGCCAGTGCCCTTTTCATTCATCACCTTACAGCTCCACTCATTATTGGCTTTCCCTCGTGCTTGAAGAGAACATCCCAACCCTGTCTGTCGGGAAGGCAGCTGGCTTTTTCCTAGTGGTGGAAAAAGCAGCTCACTCCTTTTGGAGCCCAGCTGGCTAGGCAGGGAGCACTAACTTGCTCTGGCTCAGGCTGCGCATGTGACTCAGGCTACCCAACAGGTGGGGCAGCATCCACCTCGGGGTGAGCACTGTGGCCAGGTCTCATCCTGGATACATCACGGGCCAGTCAGTCTCTGCCTCCAACACAGGGCTTGCTCTTAAGGCCAAACAGCAAACATTCAGTAGGGGTTTTGTTTTCTACCAGACATATTTGTTCTCCTTGGGATGAGGAGAGATGATCGGGGAATTAAGAAGATGATGGTAGGGAAAACTAAGAAAGTAAATGATCTCTAGAGAGACACTCCCTCTTGTGTCCAAGAGGCATGCTTAAGGGTGTTCCCTGTGACAAACAACCTCAGTGCTCATCTGCATGGGACTGGATCAATACATTTCTTCTACACATATAGCACAGTACTATGCAAAGGAGAAAATATTGATTTAGATCTGTAGGTACTGACCAGCACGGACGAAGCTCCAAGACATGCTTTTGAGTTAAAAAAGAAAAATCAGGGCTGGGGATTTAGCTCGGTGGCTTCCCCGCCTGCTGCACAAGCTCAAGGACCCGAGTTCGATCCCCAGTACCAAAAAACCCAAAAAACAAACAAACAAACAAAAAAATTAAGTTTAGGGCAATATTTACAGTATGATCTACCATGAATAGTTTTTTAAAGCTACACATGTTAATCCTGTGTATTACACTGAGGATAGATGATAGACAGACAGACAGATAGATATAGATGATAAATGTGTGGCTGGTAACTGTGGTTACTCTGGCAATGAGGCTGGACTGAAAGTCAAGTCAGGTTACTTTAACTTTATCTGTAATTACTGCTTAATTTTTTACTCCAATTATGTGTCGATATATTTCTTCTGTAGTTAAAAGTTATACAAATTTTAAAATAAAAATTTGAACACAAAAAATAGTAAGTGAAGGCAAGGCTGAGACATTTGTAGAGCAAGTTAAAAAGCTCACCCCTATAAATAATTTCAATCAACTATTAAACCTTCATAGCAGCTCTTTCTAGAGAGAGGGGGATGATGGTGGGAAGACTGATTAAGGTGAGGAAGAGACCCTCTGAAATGAGGAAAGAAGAGGAGAACATTCAGAGAACTTTTCAGCTGGCAGACAACTTCAAGGCTATGGTCCAATCTCTTCCATTCTTCAGGCGTGGGCGATGGAAATACCAAAATGACTTGCCCAGTGTCAAGAAGTCAGCTAGAGTCAGAGAAAGGCAGGAGCCCTGACCCCCTGCTGCCTGTCCCTGCTCATCCCTCAGCTGTGGAAGTGGCCACGTGTGCCCGTCAGCCATCCCCTTGTCTCCTGGTTCTTGGGTCGCCAATGATTTCTGAGGATTCTGGGGTTTCTACTTTTCCCGGTCCAGCTCTGTGTTTACTCCTTTCTCCATGTGAACCTACGCCCTCCCCAACTCCCAGGACTTTCTCTGTGCATCCCTGAACACCAGCAGTACCACAGGCTTCCCCTACCTTGGGCCATGGTGGCTGCTCCAGCCTTCGGGACTGCTCCCCACAGAACAGCTGGGTGGACTGGAGCTTCGGGAAACTGGTTCCAGAGTGTCTGCTTTCTCTTCCATCCCAAGACTCAGGAGACACTGAAGGCGGGGCCCCACACCGCACTGCCACCTGTTTACTGGGCAGATCACAACTGGTTTTCTCACTTGCCCTCTAGTTTTTCTTGGCAGTGTTGCTCAGCTGAGAGGAGGAGAAGGAACCTCCTCACAGAGGAGATGAGGAACTGTCGGAGCCTCGTGCCATGTGACCTTTGACAGCTCTTGGGCAAAGGAAGAGGCAGGGCAGCAGGAGGGAGAGGTGAGCTGATGAGGACCTCAGGTGATGGAGGGGACTGTACCTGTGCAGCGAAGAGTATCAGGGTCCCAGGACTATAGGTCACAAGTAAGAGAGCCTCTGCAAGCCCTCTCTTATCCCAAAGAGTCACTTTCTGGACATGAAATGCAGGCAAAACTAACTTGGTCATCCTTGATGTGACTTCACTGTATTTATTTTGGTAGTGGCACTGTTTTGAGTTAGAGCTTCCAGGCCCAAGGTGAATCACAAATCAAAGCAGTACGGGGAGAAGCACCAGGGAGATTCAGATAGGAGTTTTGGACATAGGTGAGAGGGTGGAATGTCAGGAGTCAGGGTCTTGATCCTACTGAGAACACATGAGGCCTTAAGGTGGATGCGCAGGGAGAAAAGCACAGACAGGAGAACAGGGGGCAGGTGGGGATGGGCTCCCGCCTGCCCCCTCCTGCTGTGGGGCGCCTCTTCCTACAGCCCTGCTTTCTGGATTCCTCCCTCCCAGGATCCCGCTCACTAGCATCACCCTTTCTCCTGTACTTCCAGTTCTCTCTGTCCCCACTCAAGGCTTTCCTCTTTTCTTTTTCTTTTTGTACTGAAAATTGAACTCAGGGCCTTTTCACTGAGCTACATCCCTCTGCCCTTTTTTATTTTTTTGAAACAAGATCTCACTAAGTTGGGAAGTTTCCCAGGCTGGGCTCAACCTTGCAGCTCTGCCTCAGCCTCTGCGTGTGTTGGGATCACAGGCGTGCACTGCCATGCTCAGCTCCAGTCAGCTCCGACAGCGTGCAGGTTCACAGACACAGTTCGCTGTCCTAGCACCTGCACCTGTTGCCAGTCAGTTGAGGCTTCCTACACTCATTTCAGACAGAAATCATGGGCCAGCAAGGTGCAGTTCCACTGTGTCCTAACGGCACCAGTTGATGCCACTTAGTGCCAAATTCTGTCCGTCAACTCTGGTCTCTGGAGCTCTTCAGGGCTAACAGCCCCTAGTGTTTATAGCTCTTCTTCTAAAGTAACCATTCTTTCTACACTACTCAGGATACATCTTCAGGACCGTCTAAGCTCACACTACCCAAGAAATAATGAGCACCAGAAAGAGGCTTTATTGGAACAGGACTTGTGCTGCAACCCAGAGAAGGGTCAGTACACCAGAGGGTGCCCTCCAACAAATGTGAGCGGATGTTGCTTAAATATCCACAGCAGGCCTGTGATTGGGCCAAATTGGAGCCTGCTGATAGGCCTAAATTCAAGCCTTCTGATCCAAGCCTAGTGATTGATCCACATTCAATGCTACTGGTTAGTTTAAATTTGAGCCCACTGCTGTCAGGGCAGACTTCTCCTGGAGTGGCTGTGGGGTGTCAGGAGCCACAGCTGTCAGGGCTGTGGTTCGGCAGATCGTGGGGAGATGTGGATTATTTGATTGACCGTTGTTGCATCTGTGAAAAAGGGTGGGTCTGAGATGGGAGAATCTCCAGGAGGCCTAGCCATGCCAGTAACAGCTCACTGGTGTTCGGAGAGGTCGGGGATGTTAACAATGGCCCTGGATCTACTGTTCTGGGAGTCGAGGAGGGCACCACAGCTGACAGGCAAGCTGTACCTCCTGTTGGAGCGGCCTGGAGGGTGGTTGCAGGTAACCCTAGGGGTGGCAGGAGAACACTGAGGTGAGCTGTCCCAGCACCTTCTGAGGGGGAAGCAAGGAGGGGCAAAGGGAAGCTCGGGGAAGGGCACGGTGGCAGTGGCAAGCCCACGCCCCTCCAGCGTCACACGAGAAAGAAGCCCGGTGCTTCTGGCCGCTGCAGCCTCATCTCCAACCCCAACCTCCCTCAGCCCTACGTTCCCCTCTTGCCCCCGCCCTTCCTCTGAACTCGACCTCTCAGCCAAGCCCCTGGCCCATCGCTTTGCCCCCCACTCCCCCCGGCCTCTGCAGTCAGGCTCTGCCCCTAGGCTGCCTCATCTTCTCCGAGGGCCGGGCCCTGGGCATTCTGCCCTGCTCTGATCTTGACGGCCTTCTGCGGCCCTGTGTGTGCTGACCGTGCTCTCTGAGATGGGGTCTCTCCTCCCCTCCTTCCCTCGTCATTTATTCTCTTCTCCTGAGCCCCCTTCCCAGGCTCCCCCTTCTCTGTGCTGGTTCTTCACAGGACTTTGTTCTGGGGGCTCCTCTACCCTCACTTCACTCATTCCCTTGTGGCGTGGTGACCCCTAGAACTGTGAACTGCAAGACCTGCTAGACCTCTCCACTGTGCCGAGCTCAGACGCTTCCCACCCAACATCCCGAAGTGGAACTCCTCCACCTCTCCTCTCCCTCTCAAAACACCTTCTTTCTCTCAGCACTTCTGGTCTTGGTGTGTGAGGACTCTGTCCACCCAGTCACTCCAGCAAAGTCTGAGTACACCTCATGGTCCTCTCACTTTCTTACCCCGCTCTAGCCTCTCGGTCCAAATTGCCTCGTAACATGGCCCTTTCTCTCTGTGTCCCTTGGTCCTGTCTTTGTTGAAACTCTACTTGCCTGGACCATCGTTCTGAATTAGCTTCTCACTCCCCTTTCTCCAAGTGTCCCACCAGAGATTTTTCTGAAGAGCCCTGTCCACCAAGTTTCTCTTAAGGTCTGCCAGTGGCTTAAGTCCAGACTTCCTAGCATAGTCCTCAAAGCCCGGGAGGGAGGGCTGGCTCCTCATGGAGACCCCTCTTCCACACCTTTGTGCTGGCCTCTCTGGGACCCGGGCTTGAGCATTTCCTCCGGGAGGGCTTTCTCATACTCTCCCTCCGCTGTTCTGGGGGGTTGGCCTTGCTCCTCTCCCTTACCTATTAGACAGCATCATAAACACCTCGAGAGCCTCCACCTCTTTCCCCTGGAGGCATGGACTGTGTCTTAACAGTGATAATGGCTGATAGTAGAAACTACCATTAATAGAATTAATAATAGCTTTTAAGTAGTACCACGTATGGTTTTAAATTTTTGACTTGCATGACCTCTGTCAACAACGACGTCTGTAGGGCTTAGGAATTCTTGTTGTTCCTATATTAGAGATGGGGAAGCCAAGGCTTAATGCCCCAGATTTCTCACGAAGAACTAGTGAGCCAGCTTTTGAGTACAGTCAAAAGCTTTATAAGTGCTTCATGTATACCTGAAACAGTTAGTTTCCCAGCTCATGTGTGTGGCCAGCAGAGTGAATGATCCATGGGTGGACAAAAAGGTCAGTGCCTAAACCACCACATGCAGGGATGGGCTGGCAGGGGAGGGCCAAGGGACATTAGCACAAGAGCTTCAATGTGAGGGACACAGGAAGGGGAAAGACAGGCTAGGAAGCTCTGGAGGAGAGAGACATCACATTTCAATGGCCACTGAGACAGCATGGAGTCCCCAGGGCCGACCTAGAGCAGCTGGGGAAGCTGAGAGCATTTGGAGCCATCAGCAGCCACTGTTGAGTCGGACCTTGCAGGTCAGGAGCCACTCGAGAGGACTTGTGGACAGGGAGCCACTGGAAGCACCACAGGGCACAAGGCCAGTGCGGTGTTGGGGCCAGGAAAATCCACAGCGCCTCCTGTGCCTGGACCCCTGGCAGCTGAAGGAGACCTGGGCTCTGGGCCTAATGAGCTGCTTCACAGTCTTAGCTTTTCACCTGCCTCCTGTAAAGCATTAGTCAGAGTGTGTGTGGGCAGGTGTGGAGCAGGGAGTCATTCTGGTCGGAGCAGCACACTCCTTGGTCCAGGGAAGCCAAGCTGTGTTGATGAGTGCCTTCCTTTCTGGGTGGAAGGAGGGGTGTGACCTCAGGAGAGGACACCTAAGGCAGAAGTGTGGGCACTCCTGCCATTCGCATGAGGCAGTACAACTTGGGGAGCCGGGGGTGCTGGCTCCAGAGCTTTCCAAGGCCAAGGGAGACTTGGGGGCCAGTTCTGGCCTGCCATGTCGTGCCCTTAAGAAAGTTCCAGCTTTCTGGTTTGCAAAATCAGGCCCACGATGCCTGGAAGGCTAAGTCTGAGGGGAGAAAACTCAGGCTCCCCACAGATGGTCCACACGGAAGCCAGAACTGACAGATCCAAGTGTGTCCTCTGCCCTTCTCTCTTCTCAGCCCCCAAATGGAGACCACGCTGGGAGAAGGGATTCATGGGATCAGAGGGCCTCTGCATGTGAACGTGCTTCACCTTCCCCAAGCTCTTCAGAGGCCACCTTCTCACTGGATCCTCACAGCAGCCCTGCAGGGGATGGCACTACCACTGATGCCACTTCGTACCTGCAAGCCAATGCTTTGGATCTCGTCGTGGTGGTTGCTGTTTTGGGGCCCAGAACTGCCAGCCTAAGGGATCTAAGGGAGATGCTGTGGAAGGGGCTGTGGCTGGTGCCTCCCCTTCGCGCCTCCTGCTCAGCTCTCTAAGCGCTCCCTTCCCCCTGCCAGCCCACGTCGGCCTTGCTGGGTGGTTGGTGGTGACTGGGGGGGGGGGGAGCTGCCTGGGGTCCACTCTCATAGCAGTGGGATGAACCTTGCATCCCAGGCCAGGCCGGAAGAGGGTTTTGAAATGACTCTGCTCATTCACCTGATGTGGGAAAATGAGGAAAGAAGAAAGCATCACCGGCTGCCTCAGCTGGTTTTTAGGTGAGAAGAAGAAAACTGGCAGGTGGGCTGGAAAGACCAACATGACTCATTTCCACATCCCCTGAGCATCCCCTCAGAGGCCCACCTGGAAGCTGCCCACTGTTCCCCCGGCTCAGGTGACACAGCCTAGGGAGGACAAGGGGAATGACTCAGCAGAGGAGGATGTGGCCTCAGCAGACAAGTAAGGTGTCACGTTTCCACAGGAGCCACCACAGGGGGCCCTGCCCTGAATGCACAGAAGAGCCCAGCCGTGTTAATGGGGCAGGCAGAACTGGCACACAGGGTACAGCAGAGCATGCGAGCTCCTGCCCTCCCTGCTCCAAGCTGGGAGTACGGATAGGGCTGGGGAGGCACAGGCCTGGGGACACAGACAGAAAGGAGGACAAGGACTGGAAATAAGCAAGCAAGACAGAGAGGAGGAAGAGGGAGAGGAGGAGAAAGAAGAGGAGCCGGGGGAGGAGCCAAACGAAGCTGCAGAGCCGGGGGCAGGGGAGGTGCAGACACACCTGAAAACCAGCAGGGAGATGCTCTGCTTTTCTGGATTTCTGGATTTCCTAAGTTATGAAGCCAGGCGTGGTGGTGCATACTCACAATCCCAGCACTCAAGAGGCTGAAGCAGGAGGATCACCTGGAATTTGAGACAAGCCTGGGCTACATAGTGAGACCCCGTCTCAAAGAAAAACAATAACAAAAACCCCAAAATAAATGAAAAATAAATTAGGAGGTGCGATCGAAAAATACAGTAAATGTTTAAAACTTGATTAGGTACTGTGTAAGACACATGACCATTAATCTCCCTCCAGACCCTCTCCTTCTCTTCGAGCACACTCATCCCATCGTTCCCACCATTTTCTGCAGCAGTTCTGGAGTCCTCTGTGGGAAATATCTTCACGAGGTATGAGGAGAAACGCAGTGAATGCTGCTGCCACCGAGTGCCACCCAGTGGAAAAACAGGCTTGTAAAAACACGCTGCAGTGTCCTCATCCTCCCTACTCACCAGATCAGGCATGGCGTGATTTCTGGCTCTTTCCCAAAGTCAGAATGACCAGGAAGGAGAAATGTTTTGAATCATTTCAGGACACTGAGGCAGCAGGACAGGGCAACTCAAGACACTCATGAAAAAGGGCTCCAGAGCTGCTGCAGAAAGTGGCAGAAAAGGGTGAGTGTGTTTGAAGCAAAGCAGAGTATGTCTGAGGGGGATTAATGGAAATGTGTGCCCTTTACTGTCACCATTTTTTAATTTAAACATTCATTGTATTTTTACCATGCTTTGCGTCTACAAGGAAAATATATCAATTAATAATGACAACATTTTAAAAAATATAATGAAAGGAAGAAAATGACTACAAAGACATATTATACAATGTTAGCAGAAGCTGGGCACAATGTTTATTTTTATGTTTATTTAATTATGTTTATAATTCCAGCTGCTTCAGAGGCTGACACAGGAGAATCACAAGTTTGAGGCCAGCTCGGGCAACTTAGAAAGACCTTGCCTTGAAACTGAAAAAAAAAAAATTTTTTTTAAGGGCTGAGGTATAACTCCGCACTCCCTAGGTCCCTAGGTTCAACCCAAAAAAAAAAAAAAAAAAAAAAGAAGAAGCAGAGATTTCCTCTGGGAAAACTTCTTGTTCTTTCCAAATTATCAAGAATGAGCAGGAATGATTTTGATAACCATAAGGAAAACAACACAGAAGAGTGGATCGCTCTGTCCTGAAAATAACAACATACAAGAAGCTGAGGAGAGTTTGGGTGTCAGGGAGAGAGTGAAAGATTAGGGAGTGCAGGTGAGAAGGAAGGGCACAGCACTCCTGAGAAGTCCTTCCCAGGCCTCCTGGGGCCTGCACTGAGGGGACCTGGGGTCCTGTCTGCAGGAGGAAGACCCAAAAAGAAGGGGCTGCTCCGCCATGCTGGGTCTCCCAGGTGAGCAGACAGAAGCCCTGCTGGGCAGCAGGCACAGCATTTGGCATCCTGCTCAGGGCTCCCTTCTCCTGGGCTTGCTGAGACAGTGCAAGGGGAGAGGCCTGGATCCTTCATTCCAGAGAGGCCATGGAGGGCTCCAGAGGCTTATCTTGCAGTGGAGGCCCTTCAGGAAGCAGAGAGGGGCCCGAGGAGCAGGAAGGGTCCAGCCACACAACTGGCAGCTAGGCCAAGAAGACAGACCGATGGCAGTAAGTGTCTGGTCAGCATAGGAGTCACAGCACCAGCGATGAAGACATCTCCATTGCTTTTTCACCTACTCCCAGGATAGAGGTGGAGCAGGTCAGAGGTGGAAGAGAAAGGAGCAAGGAGACCTGAGGAGCACCAGGAAGGCAGGACCTGGCTCAGGAAGCTCCAGCTGCAGCCACGAAGATGTCCTTGTAGCCCTTGATCTCCTTGACCTCACTGCTGCTGATCAGGACCTGGAGCTGGCGGGGCCCAGCCTTGCTGGGGTAGAGGTCCACTCGCATGTGGACGGTGTCTCCAGACATCAGAGTCCCGAGGCTGAAAGTCCAAAAGAGCCTGTTAGAGCCCAGAGGAGGAATGGACAGCTTGGGTGAGTACTTGGGGTCCCCTGTGGCGGGTGGGCACCTCCCGTTCCACAGCACCACACATCCCCCCTCTCCTGAGAAGGCCTGGCAAGTGGGGACACAGAGGCACCAGCCAGAGGCTCGAGAGGGTCCTGGCTCCACGGGGGACCAGCCTGAGAGGTGGACACTGTCATTACTTACTCCTCTGCTATCTGCCCATGGATGAGACCACTTCCCTCCAGCACCATGGTGCAGTTGCTCAGGGCCACCGTTAGCGTATTGGTGAGTGAGATGCGGACCCTCAGGGCCTTGCCCACCTCGGCTGTCATGGATACCTGCGCGGACAGAAGTGTCATGGGCAACTGGCCTTGCAACTCCCTCCAGTCAGCAGCCTTCCTCCCCCACTCCCACCCCCTGACACCACCAGGACTGTTACTTGGAGAAAGGATGCTGCTGCTGGGAGGGAAGGCTGTGAGCCGAGAATATCTGAGATTAACACATGTGCTGGCCTGTTTCGGAAGTCAAGATATTTCGGAAGCTGCTATCATCAGGAGCCTGATTCCCTCCCCGCCATATCATTCAAGGTGCCTAGCAGATTTCAAATGAAGGGCCAGCTCTGAAGGGTTAGAGGTGTCTAACGTTTATGCTGGGGAAAGTGGCATCCTGAGAATAACTGCCATCAACCATGATTAATTAGTAGTCTGATGCAGGCACGGGAGAAGCCAGGAGCATCATGTGTGCCACTGGTGCGTGTATCAGTGAAGCCATCCTGACCTCTCACTCCACCAGTGAGGAGACAAAGAGCCCAAGGCTCCGTGAGGCATGAATGGCACAGCCAGGACCTGACCTGGAGGTCCCGACCCAGCCCTGAGAATGCCCCATGCTGCCAGGTCTTCCTGTCCCCTCGAGAGTTCTCAGAGATGTTCAGTGCTTCGTCCTAAAGTCTGTGTCACAGGCAGCGCGGCCTCAGCCTGTCTCAGGAGGCAGGGATTCTGTCCCATGCACTTCTAGAGCCTCTGTGCCTAGTACAGTGCCCATCAAATGAGTCTCGTATTGAAATGATCTCTGACCGCTAGCATACAATTCTGGCTTCACCAGAAACTCAAGGAGAAGGGAGAACACATCCTGGCCCATCTAGACTTCAAATGAAAGGGCCAAGTCCTTATTGAAGGTATCAAAGCAGACTGGGTTAAAATGACTTTGGAATCCAGGAGAGTCACATAAATCATCCCCTGGTCCCATGTCCCATACCAATAGGGACCAATTTCCAACCTACTCAGCATCTGCTGAGCTGCACTGGGACCCTGAGGCAAGCAGGGCTCTGCCTGGGTAGTGGGCACAGCCCCCACTAACCCTTCCTAGGCACCCTTGGTAGAATGTCGCCTCTCTCAGGGGCCTTCACGCCCCGTGCTGCACTCTGTACGTGCTGCACGATAAGCATCACTGGGTGTCCGAGGCAGGGACAGTGTCCTGTTTGTTGCTGTCCCCCAAGCCCGCTGGGTGAGGCAGAGAACCCCGTGGGCCCCTTCTCCGTCCAGAGGCTTCACCTCAATAGCTAAGTGTGGCAGCTCCAGAGAGAAGTCTTTTAGGACCAGCATCGACGACCCTGTCTCTTCAACCTTGGCGAGGCCAGACACTCGGACCAGCTTCTCATCAGTCAGCTTGTTTCCATAACTGGTGTAGGGCAGCAGGAGGGGCCAGTGTATCTCTGTGCACAGACAAACACCCCCTGAGTCCAGAGAACGGGTGAGGAATGGAAGGAAGGAGGAAAGAAAGGAGAGAAGATACATGAGTAAGAGAGAAGAATCTGAGTTTTCACGTAAAGAGAGAAACAGACAGAAAGAGAAGAGAGACAGAGAGAAGCAGAGACAGACAGGAGAGAAACAGAGACTGACAGAAGCAGAGAGAGCCAGCCAGATGGACACAGACAGACAGACAATGCGCTTAACTGGCACAGGCTGCCCCCAGAGCTCACTGCTGTCCCGCTGGCAAGATGGCACCAGAGGTACCACAGTGGGCATCTGACTGTCCATCTGCCCGTACTGCGTGTGCACGGCGGGGGCTGTCGGACCTGACTGGACCAGCCCTGCCCAGTTCCTGGGTCCAGAGACCTCCCCCTGTAGTAGCCTTCTCAGGCCTGCCCCAAACGCACCTTTCCCAAAGTCTAGGTCCAGGGATACTGTTTGCTTCCAGAGGGGCTCCCTCGTGCTGCCCCCGTGCATCAGGGCCTGGGCACAGAACCGAATCTCCAGTCTGAGGGGACCCCAAGGGTGGGCACCATCCTGCAACCTCCGGACATGCAGGGTGAGGAACACGTCCTGGCCCCACACAGGAGCCCTGGCCAGGTGAAGCTGGAGCCGTGCTGGCCGAGCCCTAAAGGCCCCGGAGCCCAGAAGATCGAGGAGGGGTGAGGGAGCCCTTCCCTGTCCTAGCATTCTCCGGGACGCCTTCATGAATACAGATCGCTCCTCAGGGGACCCTGGAAGAACAGACACGGGAAAGACATCAGTGAGGAGGAAGAGAGAGGACAAAGGACCTTCTTGGGGGAAACAAATAATTTGACTTCCAGCTGTCCTTCTGAAGCACAAGGAGCATGCGGCCTCGTAGCTGCAGACGTGGGCACCGATGCAGCTCACGCTCCACATCCTTGCTCCTCAGGGCCCCTTGGTCTCTTGGTGCTCAGGATGATACCAGCTGGCCTCACAGAGTTGCCCAAAGAAGCCGGGTCACGTGTTTTGCTGAAATTAAGCCCTTAGCACTGCTCTTTGTCATCAACACCCCCACCTTCATCACTGTCACCATCATCATCCAGGCAGCTGGTTTCTCTGGACCCCAAGCATCCTGTCTCCTAAAATAATTGAGTCTTTTAAGTAGAATCCCATCTCTTTCCTTTGGGGGCCCCTCAGCATTGAGACTCTTCTGGAGCAGTTACTGTGCACCAGAGACCTTGTCCCTGTGTGTTCTCTGCATTAGCTCTCTGACCCCTCTGAGCCGCCGTGTTTCACAGATGCGGAGGTGGGGGCTGGGAGTGGTAAGGCTGCCCATGCTCACACTGCCAGAGCAAGGCAGAGGCTTGTTCGGTCCTTAGCATCCTCTCTTGGGGACATCCACTCCCTCCCACAGGCCCTCGAGCCTTCTCCCTCCTGAGTGTTCACCTCTGCCCTTGTCACCACCCCTACCGTCATGGACAGAGAGACAGCAGTGTGACCTTGGAACAGAGTTACCAGATAAAATACAGGACCTCCAATCAAGTTTTAATTCCAGATAGATGACAAAGAATTTCTAGGATAGTGTATGGCATGCAATATTGGAACGTGTTTATACTAAAAACCACAGCCAGTTAAATCTGAATTGCCAAGAAATAGTGACGACTCTTGAGTATATTTCATGCACCACTGGAGACCTACTAATGCAATATTTGCTTGTCTGAATATGTTTGGTATTGAAATTTAATCGAGCACCTATATTTTTATTTCCTAGTACCTTGTGCCCGCTGAAGTCTGCCATCAGGAGGAGCCATCCCAGCAGCTACATCCACCCCTTCTCCCATCCCTGGCCCAGGCACCTTCTGGATACTTGTAGGAGTAGGTGATGTCTTGGCGCTGGTCTGACCCCACCATCTTGGTGCTGATCTCCTTCCCAATGGAACTGGTGTCATGGGCCAGGATTTCCTGGGCCTCGCCGTCCTCAAAGAGCCAAATGACCTCATCTGCATTCACCTCGGCAAACACAAAAGGGGTGTCGTAGGCCAGGTGGACGTCGCCTTCCCTGATGGCCTTCACAGAAGCAGGGCCACAGCAAAACAGCCCTGGGGGGCAACAGGAGTTGTGGAGTGTGGTGCTGACATGGGCCAGGCTGGCCAGTCATGACCACGGGAGGCGAGGAGAAGGGAGGCGGTGGCAAAGGGACCCTCACCCTTGGGGTGTCCTCAAGTCTACCAACCACTCCCCCATCCGTTCGTCTGATCTTCAGAGCCACCCTGCAATGCCGCTCTTCCCATCACCACCTTCCCCTCTTTCCAGGTAAGAGAGCAGTGAGAGGCCCAGTGACTGCCAGGTGACCCCACTATCACTGGCAAAGCTGGACTCCAAATCAGAGGCTGGCTCGGGGCAGAGTGGGGGAAATGCTGCTCCTCTTAAGCCTCAGTTCGCACAGTCCCCCCAGAGACCAGCCCCACAACCGTGGCCCTCACACACCGCTGCTGGCTTGCTGGGGAGTGGGGTCCAGGACCTGCCACCCATTGTATCCTGGAGGGAGATCTTTCCGGGTCATCCAGCACTCGTTCCAGACATGGAAGTTCCTGCAGCGGGGAGAAAGGAGAAGAGATTTCTATGTACTGAGGATTTGCAGTTACCAGGTACTAGATACTAAGCGGGGTGTTTTGTTGTCCCCTCTTGCTTTTACTGTTTATTAGAAAGTAATTTCAAGTTTACAGTTACAAGAATGGTATAAAAAACACCTGTCTATCCAATTCATCTACTATTAACATTTTTTTCCATTTGCTTTCTATTAATACGAATACAAAGTATAATCAAACAGTATGGTGAATGTTTAAATTTTAAAACTTATTACAGCAAAAGACACACTGCCATTAATCCCGCTCAAAATACTCTCCCTCACTTCAAACACATTTATCTGATAGTTCTTGCCATTTTCTGAAGCAATTCTAGAAGTTCTCCTTCATAAGCGTCTGAATCAATTTAAAGTGTTTGAATCAATTCAAAACATTTACCTTTCATGGTCATTTTGTCTTTAAGAAAAGCCAGAAGTCTCATGGTGTCAGACCTGGTGAATAAGGTGGATGAGGACACACCGTGATGTTTTTATAAGCCTGCCTTTCCACGGCATGGCAGCCGTGTTCACTATCATTTTGATCACAAACATGATAGTGAATAACTATCATTCGATAACTTACAAAGATATTCAGAATAAAGGACTCCAGAACTGCTTCGGAAAGTGGCAAGAATGATGGGATAAGTGTGTTTGAAGTGAAGGGGAATATTTTGGGGGGATTAATGGCAATGTATCTTTTACTGTAATAATTTTTTAAAATTATTCACATTTATCACTGTGTGTGTACACCTCAATATATTTTTTCAAGAATGAGGATCTTTTTTATATAACGGTCAAATTTAGCACTTACAATTGATATGATACTTACACTTACTGACCACATCTCCATCTTATCAGTTGACCTAATGTGTATTCTTTTTGCAGCCAGCACAGGATTCAGTCTAGGATCAGATTTGATTGTCTGCTATCTTTAGTCTCCTATGATCTAGTAAAAGTCCTTTAGGCTTTCTTTTATTACACTGATATTCTGAAAATGGCCTTCAATTATTCATTTATCTGTTTTTTTAGAAGAATAAGCCCTGTTTGGGGGGTTGCCTGACATTTCCTCATGACTAGACTCAGGTGATGCATCCAGAGAGAGAATTCCACGTAAGTGACTCAGGGTTTCACATACACCATGGCTTCTGGAGTCGGAGCCAGAAGCAACTGTGGTGCGGGTCCCAGGCTGAAATCCGCAGCTTGCTTGTATGTTTCTCCTTTCACACTAATGACCCAGTGAAACAGGCGCCAGCTGCCTTTTACAGACAAGGAGACTGAGGTTCCCTGACAGTGGATTCACAGGATGCCAGCTAGAGCTCACGCCAGGAGTCTGGCCTGGAAACTAGCTGGAAAGGGAAAACAAGAACCCAGACCTGGAGTAGAGCATAGAAGGGAGAAGGAGAATGGACATGCCTAAAGAAAGGGACAGAAGTGGTGAGGCAGGCAGAGGAACAAGTGCAGGGAGACCAGGAACAAGAGGAAGTCAGAGGCAGGCGTCAGGCTCTGCCCCTGGCAGGGAGGCAAAAGGCACAGGGAGAAGCTTGGGGAGGAACAGAGGGTGGCGGAGACCTCAGGTCGGGGGGCGGCACACAGTTCTGTGTGTGGCTGTGGCCTCCCAGTGTCCTCCCAGGGCCCAGCTCTGAAATGAGTTTGATTTGATGTCTAAGCAGCAGAGCAGCCGCTGGATTGCAGGGTTTTCTCTGAGCATCAGCCACAGTGTAGAGGGCAGAGCCAATGACCCGGGTTTCCTTCTGCCCTCTGCTAGGACAGAGCAGAGATCTCAGGACGGTGTCCTTACCATACTTTGTCTCGTTTCTGAGTTGGACGCATCGCTGCATTTCGGTCATAGTAGGTATCAATGGTCAAGTTCCCATCCATGTTGTGTGCAGAACGGAAATTGGAAACTACCCGGGTTGGGACACCTAAGCACCTCATTACTGAAGAGAAGGAAAACAAGAGGGTCACAGCTCATCTTGAGCAGAATCACTGCCTTTTCACGCATAGTTTCCTTCCTTTCTCTCTCTTTTTCACTACTGGGGATTGAACTCAGAGTCTTCATGGGAGCTACATCCCCAGCCTTTTTCTATTTTTTATTTTGAGACAGGGTCTCACCAAGTCATTCAGTTGCCCGGGCTGGGCTTAAACTTGTGATCTTCCTGCCTCAGACTCCCAGAGTTCTGGGATTACAGGTACCACCACACCCCGCTTCTGTACTTAATTTCTAACTTTCAAGCTGGAGGAGAGAAAGAAACGAAGATTTCCATAGTGCCACAGCTGTAACTCCTTTATTCTCAGAGCTCCACAGCCAGGCCCAGAACCCACTGCCTGCTGGCCCCCTCATCTCACCGAGAGAAAGAAATCATTTGAGAGTCACTTAAAACAATAATGAACGACTCAATGTATCATCTATGGCTTTTTTCCACTCAGCAGCTTTCCAAGTTAAAAACAGAGAACCTGAGTCATTTGATAACTAGAAGGAAAATGTAAAGACTTTTGGCCTGTGCTGTGGCTAGTTTCAAAAAGAAAGCAGTGGGAAGCCAGATGAGCTGATCTGGATGATTTTCAGCCCTAAAGTTCTGGATCTGCAGTTCTACTTACAGATAAGAGTTGGTGAGAAGGGAGAGAAGGAGGACGATGGGGAGTGGACAGAAGGGCACTATTTTATCTGGAGATGCAACGGCAAATCTTATCAGAGGCTGAAGACCAGAGAAAGCCACCATATTTGATGAGGCAGCAGCTCCCCCTTGTGGTGTCTCAGGAGAGTGCTGCAAACACCTTAAAACTGAGCAAAGATGTCACAAGAAGCATACATTACCCCACCAGCACAACACACACACACACACACACACACACGCGCACACACACACACTACCACCACCTGCTGCTGTGAGCCAGATGAAATCAAGCCAAGTCAGCATGCCTTGGGACAGAGGTCCCCACCTCTGTCAGTGTGGCAAGGAGTTCAGAGAAGTTACCTACCCATCTTCCTCCCAGGAGGAGGGACAGTGTCCACGAGGCTGCTGAGAATCCTATTGCCTTGACTCACTGCAGAGCCCTCAGGAGAGTTGCCAAGCACCCTCAGCACATCTCCCGGGCTTTTCACACCCAGCAGCCAACGTGGCAGCAAAGCCTGGGCTGTAGGGCTGGAGGCAGCTTGGCAGGAGTGGCTCTCATTGCTCAGGGCCCATGGGAGGGCTCAGGGTTTGGAGGTGGAGCAAGCCCGTGGACCTATCCTTCTGTTCACTCCAGGCTCTGAGGGCTCGAAGCTGCCTCCATAACACCCACCCCAGGCCCAACACAAAACTAAGATGATTCCGTCCACAGTACCCTCAAGCCCATTTCACAAACAAGCAAAGAGAGGTCACTTGGTTTGAACACCCAGATGTAAACCTCTTCTCTGTTGCCCCTGGACATAACTACCAGTCTGGGCTGCCCTCTGGCCCAGTCTCCGTGCCTCCCTTCTCCAGCCCTGGGCCAGCCTGCTGGATGAGCAAATGTTTGAAGAGCTCCACAGGGCAGCAAGGCTGCATTGGGCGAGGTCCTCGGGCCTCAGTCCTCTCCTCTCTGCCTTATCTTTTTTGTTTTTTAATGGTACTAGGGATGAGCACCGGGCCTTCACGCTGAGCTACATCCCCAGCCCTTGTTAATTTTTTTTTTTAACAGTCATTTGCTAAATTGCCCAGTTGCCCAAACCTGGCTTAAACTTGAGATCCTCTTTCCTCAGCCTCCCAGATTCCCAAGACTACAGGCATGCTCCACCACACCCAGCTGTCCCTCATCTTTACAGGTAAGCTGGGCAACAACTCTGCAGTAAATTGTAAATAGATGATAGTGCATACAACAGCAGTGCTTCTTAGTTGTAGGTAGCAAGGTAAGAATTAATCTCTAATTACAACTCTTAAGAGTCACTCAGAGAGGACCACTGGTGAGGTCAGGCAAATTGCCTATTGCACCTCCACATCCTCCTCCCTGTTCCCTGACTCCAGGCTCACCTTGAGCTGAGGAGCTCTGCACGGGGCAGAAGCAGCCATTACACCTCTGCCTTACAGCCACTAACACCTCATTCAGGCGGCACTCCAACAGCCTCCTTCTCCACCCAGCAGGCCGTGGAGGGACTGAGCAGGTTGGCCCCCTGAGACTGAGCAGCGTGCGGACAAGCCTGTGAGGATCACGGGCTGGCCTCAGGAGCTCGTCACTCACCGGTGCACATCACAGAGGCAAAGACCCAGCACTGCCCATACTTCACAGGCTTTCCACCCTGGGTAGACCACTGCCGCAGGATGGCCACGCTGCCATTCCACTCGAGCGGGCTGGTGCCCCTGGAGTAGTCCTCACTCCAGTTCCCCTGCAGCACGCCACTGTCATCATTGCTGTTGATCTGCAAAAGACAGGTGGGCGGTGTCCACAGTGCCCTCCCAGTGAAGCTCAGACTGTCCTCGGACAGCAGCAGGAGACTGTGGCCTCACCATGGCACTCACCACCCTGCACACATACACCACGTCGCTCCGCTGGGAACAGTCTTTAGCTGGGTTCCTGAAGAAGTACAGGCTCTTGTTCAGGATCTCAAAGCAGATATCTATGATGTCCTTTTCAAACTTCCGAGACATTGCAAGGGAGAAAAGAGAAAAGAGGAAAAAGGACTAGAATTCTGAAACGTCAAGTCAAGTCCCTTACCGAGTTTTAAAGATGGTGTATGTGTATATGGCGGGGACCTGGGAACTAAATATAAGACAGTCCTACTTTTGACAAGCTTATAAATCAAATCGGGACTGTATTTAACTTGTAATTCCGAAGAACTAACCGGTGTGACTGTGGCAGAACAGGCAGAGAGAATGCAGGGTGAGAGAGCCCGGCTGGCAGAGGGGAGGGGGGAATACAGTTGCCTGAGGCCTGTGAGCACATGTGCCCCCAAACACTCAGGAAGTCTGCCGTCTGGAGGGCTCGTGCCAGCCGAACAAGATCCGACAGATGACCATGAGAGAGAGAGGATGGTGGAGAGCATGGAAGGTGGGCAGAGAAGCTCAGAGCTGATGCTGTGAGCACTGGAGAAGGCCAGTGAAGGTTCTGTTCAGCATATGTTTAGGGTATATGTCTCGACCCTCTGGCTACCAACTGCACGGAATCCATTCCACTTCACAAGATCCTCAGAAGCTGCATTGTTGGAGAATAGGGGAAATGCGCTCTTTCCTCGTGAGGCTCCGTTTCCCCTGAAGCTTTCCCCTGCACATTGTGCCCAGGACTGGGGTGGGAGGAAGGAGAAGGCACACCCACTGTGCTCTGTACTTGTGAGTGGAAAAGTTGTCCACAGCCTCTGTCTTCCGAATGTGACTGAACTATTCAATGCTATTAAAGAATTATTGTTCATTTTTTAGTTATGATCAGTTTTTCAGAAAGAACCATCTTTTGGAGCCATGTTCTAAAGTATTAATAGATTAAATTATATGTGTAATTTGCTTCAAAGGAATCCACCAACTAGGAAGATGTAGGAGTATTGGCCAGGGCTGGGGACACTCTTCCTGGAAGGGCAGCTAGTAAGTATCTCAGCCCTGGCAGGCCTTGGTTCAGTCTGACAACTCAGCTCCGCACTGTAACCTGAAACACCCTCAGACAACATCTAAGTGAACAAAGAAAATGTTCTTTATGGACACAAATTTGAACTTCATATAATTTTCAGTGTCACTAAATTTTTTTGTAATTCTTTTAGGCAATTTTGAAGTGTAAAACTCATTCTTCCTGGGCCGGGGATTTAGCTCAGTGGTTCCGGTGCCTGCCTCACAAGCACAAGGTCCCGAGTTCAATCCCCGGTACCAAAAAAAAATACAAAAAACAAAAAAACCCCTCATTCTTCCTTGTGCAGGAGGCCACATTTGCCCCATGCAAACCCCTGGAATAGATGAAAGAATATTCACCATAGACTGATAACTATCAAAGCTGAGAAATATGTACATGGAGGTTCATCACAGTTGCTGTTCTGCTTTGATTATGTTTAACACACAAAAAGAAAAAAACCCTAAAAAGTAAAGGCGCCTCCTTGGCCCTCTCATTGCATAGAAATTGCCAGCCCCTCACATTGGCTTCCTAGGAGCAGCCTTGATGAGCCCATCCCAAGCCCACCTCCGGGAGATGGTGTTACCTGCCCATAGTTCCAGGGCCAGGAGGTGACGAGACTTTCATGGCCCTTGTAGACAAAGCCATAATCCTTCATGATGTACTCTTGCAGCAGTGTCTCACTTGGCAGGTACACGTCATCCTCTGGGCAGTGATAAGGAGCAGAGGGAGCAAAACCCCAAACCAAAAAACAGAGCAATAAAATTAAAACATAGTAATGTCAGTCTCTTTCTGGAAAATAGGAGGAAGAGTGGATCAATGGGAACAGAAATCAGGACTGGGCTCCCTTAAGAGTCTACCATGTGCTTCTCTAGAGAGGTCAGCAATATAATCTATATTTTAAACAAGATTTAAAGTATAGATGTTAAAAGTTACAAGCTTGAGCTGGGGATTTAGCTCAGTGGTTCTGCTTACTGCCTCACAAGTGCAAGGTCCTGCGTTCAATCCCCAGTACCAAAAAGAAAAAAAATAATTACAAGCTTATTGTAGGACTTGAAGAATATATCGAGTTCAGCCTGCATCCCCCCTTTCTCTTTTTTCTAAAATGTTATAATAACAATATTTTTAAAAGAAAATTGTGTTACTTCTATACGTTAACTATACTAACTTGGGCCGGGGATTTAGCTCAGTGGTTTCGCCACCTGCTGCGCAAGCACAAGGACCCGAGTTCAATCCCCAGTACCAAAAAAATAAAAAATAAAAAAATAAAACAACTATATTAACTATTTCATACGTGGCCCATGGCAATTCCTCTTCACTCTCAAAAATGAGGGTAAAAATAAAGTAAAAAAGGCAGGCTGTGGGCTGAACAGGGCTGATTCCCATGGACAGAGAAAGGCAATGGAAACCATTCATTCCCACTACTCAGATACACCCTCCACTACATTTTAAAACACAGTATGCTGTGCACTCTCTTTCTGGGCACATATATTTAATATGGTTAGGATCGTATTGTGTTCCATTTGCTAAACTATTTCCCTTAACATCACACCGGAAGTATTTTCATCATGCCATTAAAAACTCTTTGTAAAGGCGATCTTCAGCAAGAGCACATGGGAGTATATGTAGAGACAGGTACGATTTATCTTCCAGCCTTTCTCGGAGCACCTTCACAGAGGGATCCATCACAGCCCAGGAGCCACCCCACCTGTGCTCCACGGGTTAAACAGCAGGATGAAGGTGCCCAGTGGGTAGGTCACACGGTGGCCCTGGCCCTGAGCAATCTCTGTGCTCAGCGTGTAGTGACCAATGGCCGCGCTGGCTGGTGTGAAGAGGGACACGTGGAGAGAGGTGGAGTCAGCTGAGAAGTCAGACACACTCCAGACATCCCCATGCTGGGCCTGCGTGAGGAAGAATGTGGCTCGTGTCCCCAGCAGCTCTGAGGGCTCAGGGCCTGGGTAGGAGAGAATGACCCCAAGGGAGGCTCAGAAATCTATGTGGCGTTAGAGTCCTTGGGGCCTGAAAGGTCCTTCACTTCCTCCCAACACTTGCTAAGCCTTTTGGTGTGAAGCTCTGACCACTGGGTTTCTACAGGCAAACCACTTAAGATCTCTGGGCCTCTGTTTTTTTTTATAATCTGTAAAATGGGAATCATCATGGTACCTACAGAATCGTGTGTTGAAGTTTTACCACACTGTTTATGTTCTTTTTGTTTTCTAGGCAGGGCCTTGCTATGTCACTAAGTTGCTGGGCTTGAATTGCAATCCTCCTGCCTCAGCCTCCCACAGTGCTGGGATTACAGGCTTGCAGCACCACTCCTGACTAGCACAGTGTTTTTAAAGGTTGGCTATTGTGGCCACAGTGCTGAACTGCCAAATATTCCCTTACCAGTACTAACTGGGTACTGAACATGGAGGTTCTGGGGGTCCCAGAGAAGAGAGGGAGGGTAGGGACCCTAACTGAACTTTGCAAATATCCCCATGCTGAGGGAACCTTGGCACTCACCAGTCTCAGCCACGAAGGTGATGTGGTCACGGTGGGCCTGGAAGGGCCTGTTGAAGCTCAGCTGGAGGCTGAAGAGCTGGCCTCGGCGCAGGATAAGTCGCTCCACACCCATCTCCTGCGTGTGGTGTCCCTTGTTGTTCCTGGCACTGTGCAGGTCCACGGACCTGAGCTCCAATGCTGCCACTAGGGGTGGGGAGGGACAGGTCATTGCCCAGCTAGGACGGTCTGAGTTCAGGAGCCCCTGACAGGTCTCAAACATTTCAGTGGAAACCAGCTCTGACTTAGGTAAGATTCCCATCCAGTTCTTAGCTCTTCTGCCTCCCAATGTCATGACTAAGCCCTACAGAGAAATTCAGGAGGCTGTGGCAAGGAATGGGGAGTACCTCAGTCTTGGTGACCGCTGCACCCAAACCTGGAGCCACAGTGCTAAAAGACTGAGGCCTTAGAAGACAACATGGTTCCAGGTACTGAAAGTTACTCCATTACCCTGAAGTAAGAAGAAGCGAACATAATTGGAATTTTGTGAGTGAAGTCAGTGGGCTGACTGGAAGCGAAGGCCTCAGCTATGAGGCCAGCTCCTGCTTTAGGATGTTGGGGAGCTTACAACTTACTTATTGCTTCTCAGCCATTCCAGGTCTACGAGGAGGACACTGGCCACTTTGTGCAGTGTGCACCTACTGTGTGGCTGTGAAACTCTTAGAGTGCAGTGGTCAAGCGTACAGGCTATGGAGTGACAGCCTCAGGTCACCACCTCCACAAGTTGCCTGTAGGACCTTGAGCAAGTCACGTAATGTTCCTAGACACCAGGGCCCTTGTCTGGAAGCTGGAGAGTCCATCGTATTCCTATTTGCTGTAGTTCACATGGGCATAAGAGAGGATGCACTGTGAGAATCTTTGCTGGGTGAGAGATCAGACAGAGTGAGCATTCAGCAGTTATTAGTCACACTTAGTAGTTGTAACAGTACAACCTCAGACTGTGTCTGCTTTGCTATTTTTGCTGGCAATGTCTGCACTGCATTCACTGTTTAAAAATCCAGTAGGTCTTTTCCTGAGTAGAGCATCAGATTAACTCCAGGATTCTCCACAGGGAGATGTGGTTCCCTGGAGGACACCGGTGATGCCAGGAACATTCTGTCACAGTGACTGTGGGAGTCACCACAGCCAGAGATGCTGCTGACCAGCATCCTAGGAAAAACCACAACAGTTTGTGTGGCCTTTGCACTTTGAACTCCACATAGATTTTGTTTTTGCCTCTGTCCTAAATGCTGCAGTATTCTGAAACCTAATTCTTTCATCTGGATGCTTTACTTTGCCAGTGACAGATTGGGTAAACCATTTTCTATGTCTTCAGCCAAGTAACTGGATGTAGAAGGTTATAAGCATTGGGGCTTAAGTCTGAGGCAGATGGAGTAGTCTCAGAGCAACCCTACATATTTGTAATGGGCTATCGAGCAACACTAGCTACAAATACATGTAAATACTTACATAAAGAAGTTGAATTAGGTCTTTTAACATTTTTCTTCACAGTCTAAAAATCAAATCCAGCTTTTGTAATTCTATCTTTCCCACAAGTTTGCCAAATCTCTGACTGAAAGCAGAACCTTTCCGAAGGTCTTTTGATCTGTGTCTGGGAACAGTCTTTCCTTGGAGTAATTACCTTCATCAAAGGTAAATTACTGGATCAAATGGTATAAAGTCTTTAAACTTCTTCAGGTAATTTGGACATTTAAGTAGATATGCCATTGGAAACAGAAAATTCAGGGAAAGATCTCAGAGAGACGCCTTTGAGTTATTTAATGGTATTTTTTAAACATTAGGACTGACGCATTAATAGTTTATGGAATCAAGGTGACCAAAAAAAGAAGAGAAGAGATCGTAATGCACTGGACATAAGAAGAGCAATAATAATTTTATGTGTAACTGGCCCATGGTGTAGATTCTGGGTCATGGTCAAAGGTTCGAAGACAGCTGGCCTAGATCTGGTTGGAAACTAGGCACATCCCACTTGCTTCTGAGGGTGTGAAATGTTTGTAGCAGGATCACTGAGCTTGCTCAGGAAGCCTCTCCACCCTACACTTCCCCCAGGGCCCACCCACTCTGAAAGGTCCTATACCCAAAACGGCAGTAATGAGCATGTGGGAGCCTTCACAGGCCCAGGACAGCCCTTTCCTGACTGCTATCCACAGCTTGACATAGTTCCCAAGTGCAGCAGCACTGCTTCATTTGCCCAGACTTCTCGCAGTTTAGAAAGGAAAGGGAAGCCAGAACGTCGCTGTCTTCCTCTGTGCCCAAAGTTGCCGTGCACAGACAGAATGCCTTCTCTATTAGGCACGGAAGTTTCTTTCTATTCCACTTAATATAATTATGCATTCAGCTCACTGAAGGCTTTTCATGTCAAAGAGACAATGACTTAAGAGAACAAAAGGAAGCACCTCTACAGGAGCCAGGAAAGAAAGCTGAGAGGATCAGGAAGGGGTTCAACAATGCAGGAGATCCAGCAGTATCAATTAGAAAGACATGTCAGCACCTAGAAGTCTGACTCGCCACAGTTCCTCAGCCGATAGTGACGTGAGTCAGAGGAGAGGTGAGCCCCAGACATGAGACTCCCTGCACTTGTTTGACTAACACAAAGACCAGATCCTATAAAGGACCAAGTCATATCCTGATATATTATCAGCCTTTGAACAACACAGGAGATATTAAAACCGCCATCTGCCTATGCAGAATTCTGCGAGGCGAAACTCCCATCTTCTGAGAAAGCAAAACTAGAGAGAGCCTGCTCTCCTGGGTCCACATGGAGGCTACACCACATGGGGATTTCTGTGGCTGTGGAACATGAAGCTCCACCTCTCACTCTCATGCCACCTTCTTTATTTTCTGCAGAGCATTTAATAACATCCAGAATTAGTTCCACAAAGCTGAGACCTTTGTCATCTTCTTGAACCCGGATCCCCCATTCCTAAATGAAGGATGAGACCCAATTTCAGAAGTACAGGTAGTGTTCCTGGGATACTTATGGTAGGCCAATCACTGCCTGGGGCATTTTACATGCCTGCAATCGTATACATTCCCAGAGCCACTCAGGTGCAGTGTCAATGTTGCTCTGGACATGTAGGAAGGTGCTGGACAGACCTGGGGTCCAAGCCCAGGCAAGTGCGCTCCACAGCCTCCCCCTTGACCTTCACAGCCTCCTGCCTTCTCTGGTGGGAGCTCAGTGGTGTTTGCTGAACGGACAAACACTTGTGTAGGTGAGGTTCAAATAGTGATCCAACAGAAGAGCAGGAACAAAGGATTACTATTCATAATAAATAAACGTGGGTGTAGATGTTAAGAAGACAGCCTTGCTATAATCACAGAAATGCAAACTAAAATAATGAGATCTATAGTTGAGCTATCCAAAATATTTAAAAGAATAACAATAATCTATTTCACAGAAGGCACATGGAAATGGATTTCTCACATAAGGACAATGGGAGTGTCAGTAAATTCATAGAAACACTTAGAGAAAATCAGTTGATAACCATCAAAAATTAAAGTGGATATTGCCTTTGACCCAATAGTGGATCATTCAGACATCTTTCATACAAAAATATTTGCACATGTATCTAGTTATTTCGGTGTGCAGAAGAGCAAATATTAGTAAAACCTAAATGACCATCAGTAAGGGACGGTAACTAAATAAATTAATAGATGTATGAAAGAAATTGTGCTTATACACTGGAATGGAAAACTGTAAATTGTAGAAATTTTTGATAGGCTAATATGCACTGACATGGAAAGATTTCCAAGATGTATGACTAAGGCTTTTTAAAAAGTAAGTCACCAGGAAGTACACTTTATGTAATTCCATTTATTAAGACAAACAATTTTAAGTCATCTAGTACTCTTTGGAAGCAATTGAGAAATTGTCCATGGTGCTTTCCTGTGGGGTGGAAGCGTGATTGGGAGGATTTATGCATTCAAGGGCCGTGGGCTGAGGGAGGTGAGGAGCCAAGTCCAGGAGGCAAGGGCCAGGAGGAGGGGCTGGAGCCCAGCGGAGGGCTCCTGTCTGATGCAGTAGTGTTGAGTGTGTCTGTCCCTGATGGGGGACAAATTGTCCTCAGGGAAATTTATCAAATTTTGTCACCAAAAGTTATTTCTTTTTGGTTTTTTGGAGACCACTCACTATGTGGTTCAGACTGGCCTTGAACTCACTATGTAGCCCAGGCTGGCCTCAAACTTGCTGGGATTACAGGTGTGCACCACCACACTTGGATTGTAAAAAAAAAATCTTTAAAGCCTTAAAACATAAATACCTTTGACTCATAAATTCCTCTTCTAGAAATTTTTTTTCTAAGATCGTCATTTGTTTACAAAAATGTAAGCATAAGAATGTTCAGTGTGACCTAAATACTCTACAATGAGAGCTGGATATGTAAACTTTATACCTCTAATCGGATGTAACCAACAAAGGCATTAACAGCACCAACAAAGAACAAAGAACAGGAGAAAATAATCCCCTAGATATTAAAAAGAAAAATAAAAATAATTGAACCGTGGTATGTTACAGATTATCTTTGAGTGGTAATTGTGGAAAAGATATTCAGTGTTTTCCCAGCTTTCCTTTTTTCCTTTTGTGTTTAGGGGAAAACGCTAATCTGATTTCAGACAGGGTTTTTGAGCAGGAGTGGCAGGATCAAAGCTGTAAATTTGGATTAGCTTGGCTGTAATGAAGGCAGTGAGACTTCTGTCGAAACAGCCAAATTCAAAGTCTAATGAGGACTTAAACACAGGTGCTGGGAGAGGGGACTGAGCCCACTCCCTCTCTGTGAGAGACTGGCATTCCTGGCATGTGGCAAACTAATCAATACAGGTTGCAACACCCTCACTTGCAAGGCTTCCCAAGACCCTGGCCAGAGTGAAGGGAGACGGGCCAGGTAAAGCGTCTGAGGTCAGGCTGGTCATGAAGGCCTGGAATGTGCCAGGTGAAGACAGAAAAGGGTAGGTTGTACCCAGCACAGGCAGCAGACAAAATGGCACCTGTCACCAAATGCCTGGTTGGAGCCAGCTCCCTTCCTTCTTCTGCCTTTGTCTCTGAGTTTATTCCAGCTTCTTTTCATTCTGCATCTCTCATTATTATTATAGATTTGGGGGCTTTTACAAACACCTCATTCTTAGCCTGGCACTCCTACAAGGCCAGCATTCTGAGAGGCTGATGCAGGCAGATTCCAAGTTCAAGCCCAGCCTGGGCAGTTTATTGACTTAGTGAGACTCTATCTCAAAATTTAAAAATAGAAAAATGGCTGAAGAGATAGCTCAATACAAAGGCCCTGGATTCAATCCCCAGTGCTGAAAAATAATTTCTTCATTATTTTCCCTTTTAAAAAAACGTGAACGGATCTATAGGTGTGAGCACACCGAAGAGACTCCTGTGCGGTGAGGTGGCTGTAGTGCTCTGTGCCTCTGTGAGTGTTCGGGAGTACACGCATCCTATCACTTGAAATTTTAACTCCCAATTTCTTTTTAGTCAAGGATTCGCCCCTCCGGAGTGTGGTCCTAACATATCCTCAATCTTATCTCCAAATGGCCCATAAAAACTTCTTTATTCATGCTGTGGGCCCCAGATAGATCATGCCCACCTCTGGACAGCACCTGCCCTTCTTTAATCTCTTTTTGTTTACATTGGGACAGTTCTTCAAGCAAAACTCAGCATCCACCTCCTCCCTGAAATCCCTCCCAAGCATTTCAGAACACAGGGGCATCTTAGCACCTGCAACGGTAATTTTATACCTAGCTAGTATTTTGTGATTCTTCCTAAGCTCCAGGATTGACATGCGTCATCTTTTTCTATCCCTGTAACTACACAGTGAGAGATCACCAGCTCCATGTGATGGATGAGTAGCAAGGTCATCAGTGAGGTGAGGTAACTCGCCCAGTGTCACCTACCTAACAGGTGACAGAACTGGCATTTAAATCTAGACAGATTGACTCCAGGACCACGCTCTTCACTTCTGGCTGCTATAGAAGTTTTCAGACTTTTTTTCCCCCAAGTGAATTTTATGCTTTCTTCAAATGAAAAAATAAACAGAATTTAATAGGAACTGTTCTAGTAGAAAAACCGGGCAAATCCCAAATGCCCCCTCTTACAGCGGGCTTCTGTGCAGCACCCAAGCATCCAAAACAACACAATGAAAGTCACAGGCATGATGTGCACCTATAATCCCATTACTCTGAGAGTCTGAGCAGGAGGATCACAAATTCAAGCCCAGTTGGGGCAACTTAGTGAAAACCTTTACACAAAAATTTGAACATTTTTGAATGGGTGGTACTGGAAGTCAGTGTATCGCCATCCCTAGTAGCAGACACACACACACACACACACACACACACACACACACACACACTGCCCCATCTCAACCTCCTCTAACCATCTATTTTTCAGCTAATCACTTGCTACTAGATTACTTCCTTGGGATATCATTACTGTTTACGGGTGTCTACGTGATGAACAGTTTTTTGTTTTTATTGTGCACACTTGGTACCCAGCAATTCCAATAGCTGCTGGCAAGAGAAGAGGACACTGCAGCAGTTAAATCCCAGGACACAGCAGCAGTTAAATCATTAGATCTTTTTCTCATGTACAGAGGATTATCATTCACAGTATATAAAAGTCGCTATAAATACTGAGAAGACAGTCTTGCTGTAATCACAGAAATGCAACTAAACCTATAATGAGATCCATCTATGATCTAGTAAAACATTTAAAAGATTAACACTAACCTATTTTTTGAGGGCATATGGAAAGGGACTGTTTCCTACACTGATGGTGGGAATATAAAGTCATACAAACTTTTTAGAGAAAAATGTGTTGATTATCTATCCAAACTTAAAGTGGATATTGCCTTTGCTTCAACACTTGTTCTCTTAGAAGTCTTACAATATAAAAATATTTGCATACATATACAGAGTTACATCAGGGACATCAATTGCAGCACTCTTTATCAAAGCAAATACTAGAAATGATCAAAGTGTCCATCAATAAGGGGTAGTGACAAACTAAAGAAATTAATACTTTTATTAAATAAATGTACTTATTGGGCTGGAGATTTAGCTCAGTGGTGCCACACCTGCCTTGCAACTGCAAGGTCCTGAGTTCGATCCCCGGTACCACCAAAAAAATGTACTTATATACCCAGAATGAAAACTGTAAGTTATTAGAAATTTTTGATAAGCCCATATGCAACAAACATGGGCAGATTTCTAAGACATGTGATTAGGATTTTTAAAATCAAGTCATTGAATGATAGGTACTGCATACTCTCATTTGTGTAAAACAATTTTGCATAAGGTAGCATCATTTGGAAGCAGTTGGTCAAATGATTCATGGTGCTCTCCTGTGGGAAGGAACAGGGTTGGGAACACATATGTCAGACCCAGACTTCCAGGCCCGAAGTTCTTAAAGACTGTATATAGCTTCAGGAAAGAAAGTGAGTGACCAGATGATTAGTGCTCCAAGATCCAAATGAAGGTGAGGAAATAGGAAGAAGGAGCTAGAATACACCATCAGTCTAGGCACTCCTGTCTCTTCTCTTCCCTCCTTACTCTCCCCAAACTTCCCCGTCTTTACTGTGCACTTCAGACAAGTTAACCAGACGGCAGGACTCACCTGGCTCCATCTCCCTTCTCCTCCTGTCGGTCAAGGCCCTTCAAGTCAGCATTAGAGATTCCAGACCTAATTGCTTCTCAGTGTTCACAGCAAGGAGAACCTCTCTTCACTTCCTCCTGCTCCTCCCACCTCTTCTCTGAAATTTCCTGTTGTTCCAGGTGCACTTTAGCTTAAGGAAAGGAGCTTTCGCTTTAAGCATTTAAACGTTTCCGGAGAAATTTGTTTCTGTGGCCTCCTGGTTAAGCAGAGAAGACTCCTGAGTGAGGTGGAAAGCGAAGCTCCACTCTGTCCCTGAGCACTGTCTCCGGAGCCCGAGAACCCATTCATCCTGACCACCCAGCTCAGCTTGGCATCGCCCAGCCGTGCTGAGACTGGGATGAGTGAAAATAGCTCTCCTGAAGAACATCAAAGATGAAGTCACACGCACACACGCACACGCACATGCACACGCACACAGAGCTTGTATACCCCTTTAGGACCAGAGAGTGTTGAATCTTGAAGGGAAACAAAGCATTATGAATTATGCTGTAAATTAAAAACAAGTTTGACAAAATTTCCAATGGCAAGGGGGTATGATATGGCAGTAACTAAGGACGGTAAAATACAAAAGCAGTGCGGCTAGCACCATGGTGTGAAGAATACTATTTGCACAGATGCGTCTATTTTTAAAAGGTGGAAGAAAATGTAAGAAACTGTGGCTAAGAGAAGAGAGATCATAAATGATTGTGATTTTCTTTTTTATATTTTATTGAATCAAAAAATATTCCACAGTAGGAGTGTAAGATTGATTGATTGATTGATTGATTGATTGATTGATTGTGGTACCAGGGATCAAACACAGGATGGGGCAGGCATGGTGCCACTGAGCTAAATCCCCACCCCATGTAAGATATTTTTAATCAGGAAGGAAAAACATTTTTAGGAGAAAATGAGAAGAAGGGTAGGAAGATGAAGGCAGAAGACCTGGACATGTAAATATGTGTTTACTGGAGTCACAGGTCTTTTTTGTTTTTTGTTTTTGAGACAGAGTCTCTCTATGTAGTTCACGCTAGCCTCGAACTCACTATGTAGCCCAGGCTGGCCTCAGATTCCTGGCATTCTCCTGCTTCAACCTTCCAAATGCTGGGATTATGGGACTGCACTGACATGCCCAACAACAGACTCACGATTTTTTTTTTTGGGTACCAGGGATCAAACTTAGGACCTTATGCTTTCGAGGCAGGTGCAGTGCCACTGAGCTAAATCCCCAGCCCAACTGACTCAAAATCTAAAGAGAGAAGTAGAAGTATCCATTCAACACTTCCATGGGAAGGAATTTAGTTTGGTCAAAGAATAAGTGCTACAGAAAAGACATAAAGCCCCCTACGTGTTTGGTGATGAGCAAAGTTATGCAAGAGCTGCCTAGTTCCCTGGAATTATCTGTATGACTCACCACAAATGCTGACATTGATTGTAACCAAAGCTCTGAGTCACAATCCTTCCTTTTTTAATATGATGAGTGAATTGGGGAAATAGTCCCAGTCAAACACATTGCACTCAATTTATTTTGCAAAGTTACTGTACTCTGGCTCAGAAAAACAACCAGTTACTGGTGCCAAGGATATTTTATAGCAGATATGATTCATGCTTTTTGAGGAAGGTAAAATTTTTAAAAATAATTTTTGTAATAAAAATCCTAATTCATATTAAAGACATTTTGATTATAGATTTGTAAGTGGTAAAGAAAGTGTACATTTTAGTAAGTTTCCTTTTTTTTGGACTACTCAAGATGGAAGCCAGGGTCTTTGCACTAAGCTACATTTTCAGCCTTTTTTCAAAATTATTTTTTATTTTGAGACAAAGTCTTGCTAAGTCGCTGAGTTGTCCAGGGCGGGCTTGTGATTCTCCTGCCTGCACCTCTCACGGTGCGCCTCCACACCTGGCATGATTTTTTTAAAGTGAGAATTTCCATATAAAACAATTTGCTATCCTATTTGAAAAGAAAGCTTTAATGATGTAATGATTTTTGCCCTCTGAAAATAAACTTTCATATCTCAAATAGCATTTATTTAACTCTTTGATTTTTTTTTTCTTTTTTTTTTTTTCTTTGGTACCGGGGACCTTGTGTTTGCAAGGCAGGCGGCAGAACCACTGAGCTAAATCCCTGGCCCAACTCTTTGATTTTTATTTTGGAGTTTAGATGGCATTGTTAGAATGTACCCACCAAAATTCATGTTGAAACTCAATCCTCACTGTGAAGTATAAGAAGCAGGGATGGTTAGGTGACAAGGGCTCTGCCCTCACGAATGGATTTCTCCATTGATTAATAGTTATTTCTCTAGTGAGTCCATAATCAAAGCAAGTTTGGCTCTGCATCTCCTCCTCGTCTCAACCAGCATTTGAGGCTCTGCCCACCTTGGGGCTCTGCGGGACTCCCACAACGAGAAGGTCTTTGCCAGACACAGCCCTTCTACCGTGGACCTCGTGGCTTCCAGAACCATGAAATGCCTAAGCCTTCATACTTTAGGAATTAACTAGTCTGCGGTATTCAGCTATAGGAACAAAAACCAGATTGAGACAGATGGGTAGAGAGGTTTATCCATGTCAAAATAAAAGTAAACACAACACCGTCATCTGCGCTAACTGGAGAATTTCTGTTTGTCTGTCCTAAGGGCCCTGGGATCAGTCTGAGTGTCCCAGTTTCCACTAGGACAGTTGGCCTTCTGTGTCCACAGACTCTGTGTCCTCAGATTCAGCCAAAAGCAGATGGAGAATGTAGTTTGGCCTATGATAGTTGTGTTTGTCCTGAATATGTACAGACTCTTTCCCTTGTCATTATTCCCTAAAAAGTAGAGAATAACAGTTTTTTACACAGCATTTATGTTGTGTTAGATATCATAAGTACCCTAGAAATGATTTAAAGTGAACAGAAAGATTGTGTAGGTTACACGCAAAGACTATGACATTGTATGTAAGGAAGTTGGGCAATGTGAAGGTTTGGGTGTGGGGGGGGGGTTGAATCCAATTCTCCTTGGATACCAAGGAACAACTGTACTCTTGTTCCTTTTTCCCCTTCATTCATTTTACAAGTAATTCAAACTCTCAAGCCTCTCTTTCTCCCTGTTGGAAGGCCTCATAGGAGAAGATTTAGGGCACATAAAGAGCTGACCTCTAGCCCCAAGGAGGTTAGAAAGTACACAACTCGTCAGATGTCCTCTAGAAAAGAAACTGGCCCGGGTGCTAGGCTCAGAATGGTGGCTGTGTCCCAAGGAAGAGCTCCCGAAAGACCCTGCAGTCTGTGGGTTCCTCTGAAGGGAGCGTTGAGGGGGTTGTGCGGAGGAGAGGTGGAGTGAGAAAGGCATTCAGGCCCACGGCGCACTGGGCCAACGGAGAGCAGCGAGAAGGGCCTGGTGTCCCGTGGAAGCAGGTGCAGGAACTGCTGCCGCGCCCGGGACTCAGCTCTTAGAGCAAATGTTTTCAACAGGGAGCAAAAGAGTAAGAGGCTTGAGCGTTTCAGACGTGCAATGTCAGGTTGTCTGTTCTGCTTGTTTTAGTTACTCATTCATTCATTCATTCTTGCAGCATTGGTTGAACTCAGGGCCTCATGGTCATTAGGCAGCTCTTCACCACTGAGCCGCATCCTCAGCCTTTTGCACTGCTTCAGATGTTAGAGGGGTGTGCGCGCGTATGCGTGTGTGTGTGTGTGCGTGCGTGCGTGCGTGCTATTCTCTTCCCTAGCTGCTCTTTCTGTGGAAACATCACTTCCTCATAGAACCTTTCCCTGGCTCTCTGAGGCTCCTGCATTCACTCTCTTGTAACACTGAGGTTTTCCTTAGCAGACACTAAACAAATATTTGTGTAATTTGTCTTCCCCTCTAGACTCCCTGATCTCTATATTTTCCCTTAGATGATCCCACCTGAACAGGCTGAGCCACCTATAAAATAAAGCCAGTTTTCTAGGACATCTAAATGCCCCTAGCTCTGATCCTTCCCCCAGGACAGCAGCTGGAGGTTGTATATTTCCCAGGGTCCCCTCCCCAGAAGTCAGGATTCCTAGGCTGCTTACTTTTGTCCAAGATCAATTCTGCTTTCGTCCACTGGCACCTGCTCAAGGAAAGAGCACTCAGCTGTGCCGCGCCTAGGGGAGCTGATGGCTCTCCCAACTAGACGTCTGTGACCAGCTCCACAGCCTGGGAGGTTTACCGATGCCTTCAGCTATACATCAGGAGGGAAGGGCAGATGGTGGTGATGAAATCAGCCACACCCTCTGCTGAGAGCAGCCCTTGAGATCCTGTTGAATCTTGGTTCCCATCTGGAAGGCCCCTTCTTGATGGGGAGCTGTACCTATCTTGTCCCAACCTCCCCATTTGACCTCAGCCAGGACCCCTCAAGACCTTCAAACTTGTTTTAATAACTAAATATCTAAGGAGAGAGTTGTGGTTGATCCCCTAACATCCCCCATGCCCCTCCCAGTATTCTTTTGCCCCTTGAAAATCAAGACTATTAGAGTTTTGCCCAGTTTCTCCATCTAAAGCCTAAGGTAGAGTCTAATGCCTAATTCTGGTATCAGCAACTTCATGAGTTTCTCTTGATAAGTGTTCTCATAGTTTGTATGCATTTCATTCATTCATTCCACAGACATTTACTGAGTAATTGTCACGTTCCTGGCACTATTTCAGGCTCTTCAGGTACAACCCCCCAAATTCCCGTCAAGTTAGAAAGGTCTGTTTGTGATGCTGTGATGGGAAATGTGGTTTACATGTCAGAATGCTGACTTTGGGAATTTTCTTGGACAATATCTCAAAACACAGTTGTCTTCCAGAGCAGCAGAGATGCAGGCATGGTGAGCAGCCATGAGGCTTCTGGCCGAGAAAGACATCTCATGAGACATGGTGGGCCCAAGGAAGAGGCACTGAGGCCTAGTCACAGCCCTAGGACTCCACCTGTGCCCGACAGTTTCCTGCCTATTGTGTGGGGAAGGTTCGGCTCATACGTGGAATGAACCTGAACAAACTCCCTGAACAACTCTTAAGCCAGAGAAAAGCCATCAGGTGAGTGATGGAAAGTTTATTTAGAACCTGTCAACAAATCAGGTTAAGATAATTGTGCGTCAGTTTTGAGTGCTGTTA